GTGCCCAATGCGACAACAGCCAACCTCAAGTAAGTCTTGACTGTAGCACTAAGCAACCTTCTATGCATTCGCTCGCTGCAGTGTCAAAGGCAACCCTCTGCTGTGTGGCTCCAAGACGAGCAGGATATGTCCAGGAGACCCTCCTCGGCACCTGGAGCCATTGAGCCAAAGAGGTAGGCCACTCAAATGATCGCTTCATTTCAGCTTTTAGCTTGCAGTTGGATCGGGTGGGAGTGCAAGCCGGGGAGCTCTGGCGTCGGGACTGGCGGTTGCTGCATTTCTGCTCGCGTCGCTCTTGGCATTTGGAGCGGTGTGGTGGAAACGCCACCACAACCGGCAGGTCTTTTTCGACGTGAATGGTGAGCTCTGCCTTCATGTGACGGCCCTCACACGTGTGTATGCATACTTGGCTTGCTCAGAACAACAGGATCCGGAGGTTGCCTTGGGGCAGCTCAAAAAGTTTTCCTTCCGGGAGCTCCAGACGGCCACCGATAATTTCGACATGAAAAATATCCTTGGTCGGGGCGGGTTTGGCATTGTGTACAAGGGGACACTGCCGGACGGGACCCCTATCGCCGTCAAGCGCCTCAAGGAGGGGTCCAGCAACGGTGGTGAGTATCAGTTCCAAATGGAGGTGGAGATGATAAGCCTGGCTGTGCACCGGAACCTTCTCCGCCTCAAAGGCTTCTGCATGACGCCAACCGAGAGGCTGCTCGTGTACCCGTACATGCCCAATGGCAGCGTGGCGTCACGTCTCCGCGGTACGTAGCCTTTGAAATGTTTGCGGTGCTCAAGGGTGGGGGGCTGGCAGACTTAATATGCGGCAAGCCAGCATTGGACTGGCCAACTCGGAAGCGCATCGCCCTGGGGTCGGCACGGGGTCTGTTGTACCTTCACGAGCACTGCGATCCTAAGATTATCCACCGGGACGTCAAGGCTGCCAACATTCTACTGGACGAAGATTTTGAGGCTGTGGTGGGGGACTTTGGCCTGGCAAAGCTACTAGACCACCGAGAATCTCACGTCACAACAGCTGTGCGCGGCACGGTGGGTCACATTGCGCCAGAATATCTGTCGACGGGCCAGTCATCGGAGAAGACCGATGTGTTTGGTTTCGGCATTCTTCTGCTGGAGCTAATCACCGGGCAGGGAGCGTTCGACTTCAACCGCCTCCTCACCAACAAGGACGTGATGCTTCTCGACTGGGTGAGCCTGTCACCGAGTGCTATTGTCCTTGGTCTTCTAAGTGGCTGCAACAGGTGAAGCAGCTGCAACACGCCAACAACCTGGATCGATTGGTGGATGCGGAGCTCAAGGGGAACTACAACGCAGTGGAGCTGGAGGAGATGGTGCAGGTGGCACTGCTGTGCACGCAGATGTTTCCAGCGGACCGGCCCAAGATGTCGGAGGTGGTGAGGATGCTCGAAGGCGACGGCCTGGCCGAGAGATGGGAGGAATGGCAAAAGGTGGAGACTCGACGAAGCCGCGAGGCTCAGCTCATACCACGCAGGTACTACGAGCTCGTGGAAGATTCCAACTCCGACCTGGAAGCTGTGGACCTGTCGGGGCCAAGATAGATATATTTACATGCTTCAGATCCATGTAAAGAATACGATTTGAGATTTCAGGTGTTCCGCACCCAGGCCTAGGTCAGGTATACGAGGGAGGATTGGTGGCGATGGAGCACGTGGGAGGCTACGTGGAATTGCGCCAGGCACCCTGGCCCTAGCTTGGTGGGGCAGGCGAGGCGAAAGATTGATTGACTCAGAGTAGCAGTAGCGGCATGGGCAGTCGGTCGCGGGTGAGTAGCACGCAGAAGAGGCTGGCGAGCCAGGCAATGGGCGAGGAGGAGGCCACCACATACGAGGACGCGACGGACGAGGAGGAATTCGAGGAATTGGAAGAGCCCGGAATGAATGGGGACGGCGAGCAGGCAGTGAGCGGCACTAGCGAGGAGGAAGAGGAGGAGGAGGAGGAGGAGGAGGAGGATGACGATGAGGAGGAGGAGGAAGAGGAGGAGAAAGCAGGTCATCGGCTACGCTACCAGCCGCACCCTTCACCGCCACCGGATGAGAGCAGTCGTCCCACAAGGGTATACGCGGATGGCATCTACGACCTCTTCCACTTCGGCCATGCTCGATCCCTTGAGCAGGCCAAGAAGCTGTGAGTAGTAGTATCTCCCTCTGTTCACTCTGTGTCTTCACTCTGGTTGGGGGCATTGTGGCAGATTTCCCAACACCTACTTGCTCGTCGGCTGCTGCAGCGATGCCCTGACCCACAAGTACAAGGGCAAGACGGTGATGAGCGAGGCCGAACGATACGAGTCACTACGCCATTGCAGGTAAATATCTCATCTAGCTAGCACCTCCAGATTCCATGCGGCTCTCAGGTGGGTGGACGAGGTGGTCGAGGATGCGCCATGGGTTATCACTCAGGAGTTTCTGGACAAGCACCGCATTGATTATGTGGCCCATGACGCGCTGCCGTAAGTTTGGCTTTGGTGTTCCTGACTGACTGACACCAGCTGGCTAAATCGCTACAGGTACGCTGATACTAGTGGAGCAAGCAAGGACGTCTATCACTTTGTACGCGCTCGCGCATGATTTTGTTGTCGTCTCTGATCAGTTCCGCATGGTGCAGGTTAAAGCCGCCGGGAAGTTCATGGAAACCAAGCGAACGGATGGTGTCTCCACTTCGGATCTCATCATGCGGATCATCAAGGACTACAATGAGTATGTCATGCGCAACCTCGCTCGCGGCTACTCGAGAAAGGAGCTGGGGGTGAGCTACGTCAAGGTGAGAGACGAGGTGGCAAGCCTTTTGCCGGAGCTGATTCTGTGCTGGATCGCAGGAAAAGCAGTTGCAAGTCAACATGGGAATGCGGAAGCTGCGCCAGAAGGTCAAGGAGCAGCAAGAACGTGTTGGACAGAGAGTAAGTCGAGAATGTGTCAGCTCGCTACTCATCCCCGTCATGCAATGCACTGCGCAGCTCAACACTGTTGCCAGAACCGCTGGGATGCATCACAGCGAGTGGGTGGAGAATGCCGACCGCTGGGTCAGCGGTTTCCTGGAGAAGTTTGAGGAGGGTTGCCACGTCATGGTAAGCGGACACTTTCCCGATGCGAATAGTGAGACCTTGTTTCTTGTTTTGCTTTCCCAGGAAAAGGCAATCAAGACGCGCATACAAACTGGACTCATGACACCCCGCCTGAGGAAGAGATCCACTGTAAAACTGCTCACCAATTCTGGCTCCGGGAAAGCCTTGCCGCACAACTGAGTGATTCTGATTTTGTAAAGGTAATCGTCTCCGCGAAAATAATGTTAGTAAGCTACACGCTTTTGTTGGGAGTGCTGAGGTTGGGAAGCGCCGAGTACGTTTGCATGTCTGGGTTGAAGCCTTTGGCAATCATCTCCTTGAAGAGTGTGTACGCGTCTTCCACTTGCCCGGCCATGCTCAAGCTCCGGATGAGCACGTTATAGGTGGCAAGGGCAGGTGTGTGCCCCTCCCTCACCATCTCCTGGAGCAGCTCCATGGCCATGCTCGTGTGGCCCCGCCGGCTGAAACCAAGCACCAAGATGGTATAGGTGATGGAGTCGGGGAAGCAGCTGCATTCAATCATGTCCTGAAACAGTTCGTACCCCTTGTCCACTTGACCGCTCCTACAGAAGCCGGAGATGAGGGCATTGTATATGTAAGAGTTTGGAACGTGGCCCATCTTCACGAGTCGAGCGCTTTGCTCAAGGGCGTCCTCCATTCTTCCAGCCTTGGCAAGAGTATCGATGAGCGTTCCGAAGGTCGTCAAGTCTGGCATGCACTTGTTGGCCTGCATCTCGTCGAACAGATCGCAAGCTTCGTCCGTCCTGCGCAGCTTTTTAAGGCCGTTGAGGAGAGTGTTGTAGGTGACCACGTCCGGAGAATGCTTCCTTCTCTTCATCATGCCGAAGAAGCTGTACGCCTTCTCATACCTCCCGCAGCTGCTCAGAACATCGATGACGATGTTGTAGGTGCGGCAATCTGGCATGATCCCTTTCCTGTTCATGTCCTCGAGCAGCTCTAGCGCTTCGTCAACTTTGCCCTGCTTACCGAGGCAGCTGATCAACACGTTGTAAACAACGGTGTCGGGCATGCAACCCGCCTTTTGCATGTTAGAAAACACCTCCAAAGCCTTGGCCGCTCTCCCTGCCTTTCCAAGAGCATCCATGAGGTAGCTGTACGTGAAAACATCCAGAACGACTCCTGCTTGCTCCGCCTCTTGAAAAAGGGTCAAGGCTTCCTCGAGCTGCTTTGACTTGCACAGAGCTGTGAGCAAGGAACCGTGCCCAGCTGATGAGAGGCAGAGCCCCTTCCCTTGCATCAGCCGCAAGTACCTGCGGGCATCCTCAAGCCCCCCGGCTTTCTTGCACAGAACCCTGATGAGGGAGCTGTACATCACGTCCTCTGACGCAAGGCCCACGCTTCTGGCCTCGCTGATCACCCTCTCTATGTCATCGCTCCTTCCTGCGTCAACAAGGCCGCTGAGCAGCAAGTCGCACGTGGCCACACTGAGCTCCTTCATCTCCAGAAACACGTTGCACGCCTCGTCGAATTTGCCAGCCCTGGCCAAGGCAGCAATCAGAGTGTTGTAGCCGGACACCTCGATAGCACCGCCAGGGAATTCCCTCAGGAAATCCAAGGCCTCCTCCATCTTGCCGGCGTGAGCAAGGCAAGTGACGAGAACGTTGGCCATGTGCACCGTGGGGAGTACAGCGTGCTTGGCCATCTCAGCCGACAGCCTGTGGAAGTCGTCAATCCTGGCCGCCCTCCGCATGCCGTGCAGGATGCTGTTGAACGTGCAGTGGTCCGGTTGGCAGCCTGCTCGTTGCATTGTCGACAGTAGCTCCCACACTTTGTCCATGTTGCCAGCCTTGCCTTGAGCACCTATGAGCAGATTGTACGTGAAGACATCCGGGACGCTCTCCTTGGTCATAGTGCTCTCGAAAAGCTGGGTGGCCTCAGCTAGCCTGCCACACCGGATGAAGCCTTGGATGATGAAATTGTAGTTGACCGCCGAGAGAGCACAGCCGTCGTGTCGGGCGAGTTCCATGAACGAGGCAACCTCATGCATCTGTCCGGCTCTGCAGTGCGCGTTGACAAGGATGCCATAGGTGAAGGCATCGCGGGCACAGGCATGCGCTGTCATGTGGTGGAGAAGGCGGCGGGCTTGCCGCAGCATGCCCAGCCGACAGGTACAGTGGATGAGGGTGTTGCACACGTTGACGTCGGCTTGAAGACCTGCGCCGAGCATCTCCTGGAAGACGGCGAGCGCGTCAGTTGCTCTGCTCATCTTGCACAAGAAGATGACGAGTGTGTCGAAGGAAACGGCGTTTGGCTTGCAGCTGCCCTCCTGCTTGAGCCGCCGAAACATGTCGAGCGCCCGGTCCCCGTCACCGGCCTTGCAGTAGCCAGCAATCAGGGTGTTGTAGGCGACAACGTCGGGGGCGCAGTCGCACGTCTCCCTCATGTCGGCGAACAGTGTCATGGCCTGCTCCACCCTTCGCACCTCGCACAGCCAGTGCATGGCGGCGGTGAAGGCCACCGTGTCCGGCTGGCAGAAGTTTCCCCGCCTCATGTCATCCAGCATGCCCATGGCTGCGTCCAAGTCGCCCGCCCTGCCAAACGCCTGGATGCATTCCGTGCACGTCACCTCCGACAGGCCAACACCCTTCTGCCTCAGCTCCGCCAGCAGCTCCGCCAGCAGCTCCGTCCTGCCCAGCTTGCAAACCTCCTTGACCATGGCGGTGGCCGTGTGCGCGTCAACCGGCACGCCCGCCTTGAGCAGGTGGTTGTAGGTGGCCAAGGCCATGTCGAGGCGCTGCTCCTCGAGAATCACTTTGACCAGGCAGTCGTGGGCAAATGCGTTGAACTTGAAGCCCAAGGCTCCCAGCCTGATGAAAGCTTCCACGCCACCTTGCACGCCACCGCGGCCGAGCATCATCTGGCCCAAGCTGCCAAACGTGTCCTTGGTGAGGGGGACGTGCTGAGCTTGCATCTGGTTGACGAGGCGGAGCGAGAGCGTGAGCTGCTTGTCCCGGCACAGCAGCTGCAGCATGAGGTTGTAGACGGTGCTCGTGTGCCTGAAGGTGGCGCGCGTGCCCGCCCACTGGAAGAAGGCGTAAGCGGCCTGGACGTGGGCGCTGAGCTGCTGGAGCACCCGGGCAACCAGCTTTGTGCTGATATCGTACCTGGCGCCCAGGGACTCCATGTCGCCTCGCACCTCATGCTGCTCCTTGACGAATCGGCTTATTTCCTCGGCGCTACACGCCAGGGCCTTGGCGCTGTTGCCCTCCTCCGCCACCACCACCAGCGACGCGGCTCTCACCGTGCTCTTGCTGCTCCTGCAGCTGCTGGACGCCCCCCACTGCCTGCTGACCACTGGCAGGCAATGCCAATGCCATGCCACCACCGACATTGGCATGCCCTAGTCCTTGTGCTGCTAGTGTCACTAGGTGCCCAGGGTATGGCGGGAAGCAGCAAGCCGACGCTGGTGCGCATCAAACGCAAGCGCTGCCATGAGCCCGTGGACCTCCTATGTAAGTCTCAGCTAGCTACGCATTGCTCTGCCGCTCCCAACCAAAGGCATCGCAGGGCTGGAGCACAGTGCTACAAAGCGTCGCGGGCTTGATGCCGATGCCGCCAACTTGACACTGCTGGACGCTCCCCACTCCTCAGGTAGCCAAGCTACTTGCTACGTGCACATGTCGCCTCTTTCTTCCCTTCCCCCCAGGTGGCCAAGGAGGAGGAAAGCTTCTCTTTTGCCGGCTTCAAACTGTCGAGGCTTCACAAGTCAAGGATGCGTCCCTGTCAGAGTCTCTCATGGTGAGTGTGCTGCGCACCATCTGACCCGAACTGATGGCTGTGGATGGATGCTTGCAGTCCGAACTTTCTGCAACCAGGCAAGAGGCAAGGAAGAGCGGTTTCAAAAGAGCCAAGACGCCATCTGCATCTGCGGCTGCCAGGCAGCAGCACGAGGTACTTCCGCCGGCCCAAAGCTGCTGCCTGAGCTACAGCTTGTTTGCAGAGAGACGCCAAAGCCGCGCGCTACAAGCAGGTGTGGAAGAATCGACTGGGTCTAGAGAGCGAGGACGTTATGCCCCAGTTTTTTCACCTCTACGATGTAGTTCGAACAACAGGTGGTGAGGAAACGAGAGAGAGGTAAGCTGGCGCTAATGCCAACCAGGATTACCCAGCACGAAAAGACAGGGATCGCGAGGATAACGAGCTGCTGATGAAGTACATGCCACTCCTTGAGGAATTTTGCCCTGAAAACTTTCCTCCCGCCGATGCCTCCACCGGTTAGCGTCCATGCATACGAGGCCTCACATGTGCCAAGCTTGTCTTGCAGAGGATTTCGTGTACGACGTGTATGTACAGCAGGCGGGGCACGAACAACTAGATGTGAACGAAGAAGATGACTTACTAACGTGAGCCATTTCCTTACCCTCGGTTTGAAGATTTCCACGGGGACAAATTGCAGGTTGCAAGTGAGCGATTCGTTTGCCTTTGGATTAGAGGACCAAGTCGATTCCGACTATGACAGCGAGGACTCAAACCGTAATGTTTCGTGTGGCCATGCCTTACGGAGCGCCTGACCTCTAGATACGTTACAGGTGAGGATCGCCCCGAGTGCGACTATCCTGACGAAGAAGACGGAGATTGTTCCGAGGACGAGCTAGAAGACTCGGACCCTGACGACGAGAAGATCAGCGGCAGCAGCGATGATGAAGAGGACACAAACAAGTATATTTGGAAAAGTCGCAGGTGATGGAATCTACTGGTTTTTCTTTCTTGTTGAAAGTGTTTCCAAGGTGATTTAAGCAACGGGTAGCACAACGGGCTCTTTGATCCGGGTGTCCACCCCAGATGGAGGGAGGTCCAGATGTTTGGGCAGGATGGGATAATTTCCAGAGAAGCAAGCGTCACAGAAAGTTGGTGCGCTGTGGCCCAGCATTCCCCTCAGCCTCTCAAGTGGCAGGAAGGCGAGTGAGTCGGCCCCAATGAAGGCGCACGTCTCGTCAATGCTCAGCTTGTGCGATATGAGCTCTTCCCTGGAGGGCGTGTCGACGCCGTAGTAACAGGAGCCCGTGATGGGGGGGCTAGCAATCCGCAGGTGTACCTCCTTGGCGCCCGCCTCCTTGATGAGCCTCACAATCTTGGACGACGTTGTACCCCGGACAATGGAATCGTCCACCACCACCACCCTCTTGCCCTCGAGGACTTCCTTGACGGGAGAGAGCTTCAACTTGACCCCGAAGTCCCGGATCTTCTGGTGCGGCTCGATGAAGGTCCGTCCCACGTAGTGCGAGCGGATGAGCCCCTGCTGGAACGGGACGCCCGACTTGTAGGCGTAGCCCAGCGCCGCCACCATCCCCGAGTCTGGGACTGCGATGACTACGTCGCAATCCACGGGTGCCTCCTCGGCCAGCACCTCGCCAATCCTGTACCTGGTCTGGTACACAGACAGTCCGAAGACGACCGAGTTGGGTAGCGCAAAGTAGATGTGCTCGAAGATGCAGGCCTTGCGCTCCTTGTGTGGCATGAGGCAGAGGGAGCTGACGCCGTCCCTGTCAACCACGATCACCTCCCCTGGGTTCACCTCCCTCTGGAATTCCGCCTCGATGAGGCCCAGGGCGCACGTCTCGGACGCGAAGACGACGGCGCCGTTGCTCCGGCGGCCCATGACGAGCGGGCGGAAGCCGTAGGGGTCCCTGGCGGCCACCAGCTTGTCCTCGGTGAGAAAGACGAGCGAGTAGGCACCCTCGAGCTGCTCACAGGCGTGGACGAGGCGAGAGATGAAGGGGCGCGCCTTGGAGGTGGCGATGAGGTGCAGCACAACCTCGGTGTCGGAGGAGGTGTTGAAGATGGAGCCGCTGTCCTCGAGCATGATGCGGAGCTCGTTGTAGTTGACAAGGTTGCCGTTGTGAGCCACGCCCACAGAGCCGAAGCGGTAGCCGGCGACAAAGGGCTGGACGTTTTTGAGTACCGAATCACCGGCGGTACCATACCTCACGTGCCCGATCGCCGATGAGCCGGGGAGCTTGCTCAGCTTGGAGTGATTGAACACCTCCGACACCAGCCCCAGCCCGGTGATCCCCTTGAGCTGCCCACCGTCACACGACACAATTCCCGCGCCCTCCTGCCCCCTGTGCTGCAGCGCGTGCAGCGCCAGATAGCACAGCCTGCTCGCATCGCTGTCGCCGTAGATGCCCACCACGCCGCATTCCTCCCCCCACGCCCGCTCCGCCGCCGCCAGCATGGGCTGTTCCTCTTGGTGCTCGCATGACCATCGGGCAGAGCATCTGAGACTGATACCTCCTCTCGCCTGAGCTGCTGCAATCCTTGGTTTGCTCCAGCCGCCGCTCTGCCAGGGGAGAAACAAGGAGGTGTTGCTGCTACCCGCTGCCATCCCGACGGCGGCGGTGGCTGCTGCTAGAACCATGGCTTTTTTAGGGCTGGCGGTGTGGACAAGAGAGATATTCTGTGATGGCGACGGGATCCCCTCAAGAAACGCACTGAGATATTCCCTGCGCACAAACGGAAGAAAGATAACCCCCAAGAAGGCCTACTTGCTCCTGGGTGCCTGGGATCTTGAGCCGTATCTAGTAGCAGTGCAAAGAAAAGGAAAGCCACGCTCTCTCACACAACATTAAGTTGTAATAGCAACAGCAGCAGCAGCAGCAAAGGAGCAATGACGGTGGCCGCCGTGGCTTCGTCCAGTTTGCTCCTGTGTGAAGAATCCATGTCCCACAGCGACGATGGCGCCGCCATCTTGGGATTGGATCGGCTGGCAATGTCGGGGGAGCGTGGTGAAGACTTTCACCAGCCGTGTCAGCTAGATTGCGCGCTCCAATTCGGGGAATGCATGGCACTCCTCGTCAGCCAGGAGAGTGTGGGACGCTATCTGCCTTGCAAGCTCTTTGTGCGACAGCTGCTCCTGGAGCGATCGCCCCTCGCGGAGCTCCGCCGTGAAACTGTTGTGTGGATACTTGAGGTGAGACTGTGTGCAGCATTGTGAAGCGCGGAATTGAGATAACCAGGTGCTTGTTTCAGCTCCGAAGTCTCCTGCGCTTGGATGTCTCTGTGGCTGCCAGCGCGGTATCAATGCTGGATCGGTTTGTTTCTTCGAGCTCTTGTCAAGTGCAATCGAGTCACTCTCCGCTGCACCTGAATCTGGCGGGCCTGGCTTGCATGTGGCTGGCTGCCAAGTACAGTGGCAGCCGGGTGCTCGACTTCTGGCACCTACAGGTACCCCCTCCCTCCCAATGCGTCCCCCTGCTCTAAGATTGCTGGATGTGGTTGGAGCGCAGGGTGCTGCTGCCAAGGTTGGGTTCGATGCTGCCAGCATCCGGCGCATGGAGCTGATTGTGCTCAGGTCGCTGGGATGGTCGGCAGTCACGCTCACCCCCCACGACTTCATCTTCAACGCCATCCGGCACCTCGCCAGTAGCGCCGCATTTCCCACACACACGCTCCACTACTTCTTCTCCAGGGCCGATGAGCTCGTGGCTGGGCTCCTTCCAGGCATGGCTGCGTGCAATGTCCGAACATATATGCTAATCTCGACCGTCTTGTCTTGTCTTGCGCAGAGGCAGCCTTCTTACAGTACCAGCCATCTGTGATCGGCAGCTGCATTCTTCAGTGTGTGCTGGATGAGAGCATCCCCGTGCAATCAGCCGACTTCATGGATCGTCTTCGGACAACGCTGGCGGTTGACATGGTTGGTACCGTTTATAACAACAAAACCGGACAAAATAAAATCAAAGAATTAAAAGGACCTACCTTGCCACCAAACGCCTCTTTCACCTCTCTTGGCTCTTGTTTCACTGTCCTCTTGAAACAGATATCGTCTTGGGATTGCTACCAGTTGCTCATGGACTGCGTCGTCGATCCAGCAGACTGTTGTTGCGCCGCCCCGTCGCCAGATCATGTTGCCGGTGCACACCTCTCGCATTTGGACCAAATTAACAAGGTTGTCACGAGATGATTAAGAAAGAAAAAGATTTGACCTTTAGATCCCAGCGGTCCGAATGGGCGGTCCTTAAACTTTTGCCCCTTCGCAACTGCCGTGCGTTCAGCTGGCACAGATTTAGGGCTCTCAACTAGCGCAGCACATCAGGATGGTGCGGCGCGACAAATATGTCAAGGCCATGCCTGGCTACGGCGGCCATGTGCCCTGCATGCGCAACCACATTGTGGGGAGGAGTTTCTCGGATTCCACAGTCCGTGCGTCGCAGTGCGAGAAGGCGTTTCGGCGGGATGATTATGCGAGTGTGGCGCCTCTGGTATGTGTCGGCCGCTCATCACGCACAATTTAGCACGGAGACGATCGAAACCTTGCGGTGCTGTGGCAGACTGTCGAGTCCCGGCCGCAAGGGAGGGACTTTCTCTACGCCCAGACCGCAAAGACGGGATACGAGCTCCTGGACAAGAGGGCGCTGGAGCCTCGCATCAGCAAGAAGCGGCCATCCGGTGCGCTCTTCCATGCCACGGGGCGCCTGGATGTGCGCGGCATGGAGTGAGTAACGAGCACACCGGAAGTCATGTTTATAATGGACATGTTTCGTGCACAGGAAAGTGGCAGGAACCACTGAAGAGTGTGTCACCAAGACGGTCAAATCTGCATCACTTCCCGTTGCACCATACAGAGATCCCACCCTGCAGCTGCGCAAGTCCTTCCACAAAATGAGCTTGGAACAGCCCGAGATCCCCACCGTCCCGGGCTACACAGGTCACCAGGTTCTCTCTCTCTCTCTCTGCATCAACACAACATGGATTCCACCTCTTTGTGATGCAGCATGGGTCCCAACACATATTCGGCAAATCTTATGGCTCAAGCAGACGAGAAATCATCACGGACCACTGTGTCCCAGACAAGCCCACTGTCAAGGAGCTCCTCTACTATTGGGACACGCGGCCTCAAGGCAAGCAGACCACCGACAAGCACAGGATACCCGGTTACCAGGTCTGATATGTATGTTACGTAGTGCAATCATCAAGAAACTTTGGCTTCTACGGCAGGGGTATATTCCCAGCAAGAGCAACCACGTCTTTGCTAAGACGGCCGGAGCGGCCTCAAACTTGGCTGCCTTGGCTGAAAATACGTTGAGAGAACGCAAGAATGCCGGCGGCCTGTACGAGCTTGTCGATAATCCACCACAGGTGAGCCATGCGAGGCATGCATGGGGCAAGCGTCTAACTCTGCTTGTTCCTTCCTCCAGGGCAAAGTCGACCTCTATGCACAAAGTCAGGAGCGCTTCTTCGAAGTGGAGCCTAGGCCCAACTACATAAGAGTGGACAAGAAAACGACCAGGGTAAGCAAGATTATATAGCGTGCTCCTTTATTTCTCTTGTGGGATCCATGCAGCCGTCCATGTTTGAGCTGAGGCCCGACTACAGGGTGAGGTTGAAAATCTTTGATGACACTCGACAAGTGATGGAAGGCAAGCACCATGTCACGGGATACACCGGGCACGTCCATGCATCACAGGTTCGCGTCTTCATCCTCGCTTTGTGTGCGTGCCGCTCAGACTCTACCCCTTTCCGTTGCAGCACTTGTACGCCAAGTCGTACGGCAAGATCTCCCGAACGCTGCATGAGAAGCCAGCTATCCCGGAAACGTCGGAGCAGTACTTGAACTTCGCTGATTCTCGCGCGCTCGTAGATCAAGTCGACGACGTTACCATTTCATAGCACAGGACACGCTTTTGTACAAATCCAGAAAGACGAGTTTTGGTTCAAACCTGTTGCTTTCGGAGCATCCAGCCTTTGGCACGCTCTAGCATGGAATGCCCTGCTCAACAAATGGTCAGAGGTAAACAGCTCAACACCGGCCTACGTACCTGGGTTGTTGTGTTTGGCTCCAAGGGATCCGTTGCCCGCGGACCAACTCCGCCTCAAACTGGTGTTGCTAGTAAGGAGGTTTTCCTTCTCCGAGTGCTTACGCCGCTTGGGTGAAGTCGACTTCGCTCTACTCGCGTTCTTGGACAGTTTAGAGTAGTGTTGACCACGCCCAACACCTTGCCTCTTCTCCTGAGTCGCATCCTTGCACGTCTTCTTGCTTGCCTCTAACACCTTCAAAGGCCGCGGATTACTATGCTTCCAGCTATGGCCTGTGGCAGCGATCTCGGAGTGCTTGTCTCCACGAGAAAAGTGCGCTGGAGGAACCGGTAGCCGAGAACCAAGGGAATAAGTGGCTGTCTCCGTCGCGAGCCGTGGACGAGTAACTGGTCTGTTCTTTGAGGGCAAGCGGTCAATCAGTGCCGGAAGCGACTTGACAGGAGATGTCTGTCCCTTCTTACCACGAAGCAATGGCACTTTCTGCGCTTTGTCCACTCCAGTCTTCTTAGCAGCTGGATGCTTGAACGGAGCTAATACCCTGAAATGCTTCGAGCTTGGCGGGCTTGTCGTCTCGTATGCAGGGTTTGGAAACATAACTGCATTCGACTGTGTGGACTTGATCTGCGATAACTTCCAACTCTTCTGAGCTTTTTTCACCTTTGTAACCTTCATGGATGGTGCCGCCGCTGGTGCTGGTGCCTGTACCGGTGCCGGTGACGCTACTGGCAGGGCGTTGAAGGTCTGAAGCTGTTCAATCTTGTCGAACTCCTGGATGCCCACTCCGCTATGCAAAGTAGCCGAGGCATCCCCTTTGGTTTGGCTATCTGCATGACGCCTGTCACGCTGTTTACTTGCAGAACCCCGCCTTGCTTCAAACAGTTGCGATACCCCACCAGAGAGTTCCTTTGCGTTCTTGGCAGCCGCGAGAAGATCCGAGAGTACCCGATGCACAGACTCAGCCGATTCTGACCAGTGCGTCCACTCAGCTACATACATCACGAAGGAGAGAAGTGTAAACCAATGGATGCCAGACAAACATTTTGGCGACAAACCTGCATTGGATAGCTTCGCCATCGCATCGTCATCGAGTCCAACTCTGCAGCAGAGAACACTGGGAAATCCTATACAGCACAGAAAAGCCGATACCTTTGGTCGCTTTTGGGGCTTTTGCAAGAAACAGCCATCCTGGTGACCTCGATCGCGGTCTGCAGCTGCTGCAGCCGAGCTACAATCTCATCCACCTGCGCGACCTGAAGATTAGAGCCTTGCGAGCGAAGGAGGCGCTCACCTTGTCAAGGGCCCTCTGGATTGGCGGAGGCTGATGCGCTTCCATGGACGCCGATCAAACTAGCCCTTCCGCCCTAAGCCTGGCTCGAGGTTTAAAATGGGGGCCTGCCCATTTGCCCTAGCCCAACGGCTCTATTTTGCTTTCGAGAGGATGGATGCTGGATCGACGCTTGGTATGGTGAGAGAGGAGGATTTCCTTGCGCGCAAGCTCGACATTCAGCTGGATTACTGGGCGGCGGAGAAATGGCAGCTGGAGAATCGACTTCTGGTGGTATGTTTTGTCGATTCATTCGAATGCTAGGGCTTAGGGGCTTCTCTTGCAGGGAGAGAGAGCTCACAGGCATACGGAGGCTTTTCAAAGCTATGAAAATGCGCAGCTTGCCCTCACACTGGGCCTTCAGCAGCACGAACTTTTTCTGAGCAAGCTCAAGCTGGGTATGTCAACGACGTACATCCTTCGCGCATGCTCAAAACCTTGCAATGACAGATAGCGTTGTGGACGATCTTACGCATTTCCAGACCCGAGTGACACTACTGGAGAGCCAAGTTCGACTAGAAAAGGTGCTTGCCTGGTTACTCCTTCGCTGTAAGATTAATTGGCATACGTTACGCAGGAAAAGGTTGAGCGGCTCAAGCAGCAGCAGTCCCTCGGTGGACAATCCGTTTTAGCAACGAAGGAAGCGGAGTTTGTGGATAAGTTGCATGATGCATCACAGCAGATTCAGGATCTTCGGCAGGAAATCCACGGGTTGAAACTCGGCCATGCCACAGAAATGACCAAAGTTTCGAAGGAGTTGCAAGCTCTTCTCAGGGAAAGGGACTTCGTGTGGAATCAGCTGAAATGCTTGGAGGCCGATTTTTGCTGCCGCCTGAAAGAAAAAGAAGCGGTAGTGCTCGCTAGTCAAGAGGACATCGCGAAGCTTCGAGAGTGTAACGAGTTGGCGCAGAGAGTTGGTGATGAAAGAGCAGTGGAGCTGACGATAACGAAGATGGAATTGAAGAAAGCAGAAGATGAGTCCCTGGAGATGAAAAATATGGTTGCCGAACTCATGTCAGAGAAGGTGCAAACAAGCGCAAGCGATGAGCTACAAAATGCGTACAGAAGGCTTGAGGAGGTAAGGCTGGAAAATAGGAACCTGAAGGAGTTGTATGCTGAACTGGAGGCCAAGCATGACGAAAAAATGGTTCGCAGATTTAATTTGTCTGCTTGCTTTTCTTACTGTTCTGTTTCTTCCAGAGGCTGGACAAACCCGTGAAAACTGGAAAGAAGGACGTCACTACGCGCAACTTATCGTCAGAAATGGAGGCCGCCGCAGGAGAGTCTGGGCAATGCAAGCGCTTGCGCTCGCGCTCTCGAAAAGCCAGAGGAGAAGGGGTACACCTCCCTTCAAGCAAAGTTATACTTTTTCTAACACAAAATGCAGGAGAAGACTGCAAAGCGCACCAATCGTGGTGAGAACACTGGAAAGCGACGCCAGGTAGTGAGAAGTGCGCATGAAACACTCATCTGACTATTTAATTTATAGAACAAGACTTCAAGCTCCAGTGGCGGAAGGGTTCTAAGAGCAAGAGACTCGAGTGGCAGTGCCACAAACACTAGCTTTTTCTCAGCCTCGTTTAGTATTCCAAAGGTAAAGAATACACTCGCAGCGGTGAGATAACAACGATCATGACAAAGAAATCTTCCTCTTGGGCAGTCGTCTTCGTAAAATAGATGAGCCGGTGCCTTCAACTACTTGACTTGTGCTCAGATAGGGGCACATGTATCCTTCCACCTGGTTTGTTAATTATATAACAACATTCTCTCTGTTGAAGCTACAACGAACCTGTAGTAGAGTAGCAGGAACGTCCACGCGACCTTGCAGTATAGTGTCCACTCCCTCGAGGACGTTTGGCGAGCATGGCGTAAGTATGTACAAGATGCGCCGGTCAGCATCGATAGCCCGGACAATACCTGAAAAAGGGGCAGGGGGACAGCTCACTCGAATGCTAGCTGAAGAAACGCCGCTCACCGAAACCAACGCATGGGGGTTGCTCTTCTCCTCTGTGAGAGCTGGTAGCCAAACCAACAAGTTGAGCATTCAAGCCGAACAACTTCTGAGATACTGGGACCTGTCCAAATCGTATACAAGAGTTGAGTTTACATGGAAGACCAGTCTGGAAGTCTCAACCTGGACATGAAGATGCACGATGTTGAGATCATCCGCTGAAACTTGATAAGGAACCTGGCAGGCTAGTGTTCTTGCAACTTCCTCAAATCGAAGGCCAAGCGAAGAATCGATTCTATCGTAATCATGGAAGTAATGCACCACTCTGAGAGCTCTAAGCTGAGCAGCCGTCCTGACAGCACTAGGCAAAAATTAGTTCCACATGATGACGAATGCGAAAGGCGCTGAGTGGGCATACCGGTCAGGCTCAGTCGAGCAGGAGAAAGCGCGTTCTAGATGAAGGACGGAGGCAATGTCATCAGGCAGCGGCGGAACACTCTCATCGTCTGCGGAGTGGATCTCTACCACATGCGTGGGCGTCGAATAACGCAGTATATCAACCAAGAGGTCGTATCCGACACCTTTGGAACGCAAAGTTAGAATACATGACAAGCGAGAAAAATCCTGGACCTGCCCGCCATCCAAGCGAGTTGATGACCAGCGGAATCTCAAGCGCGGCCCGTCGAAAAGAGTCGTAAAGATCCTTGAAGTATTTGACATATGCCTTTGGATCCGATTGTGGAGTTATGTCACCGTAGAAGAAGCACCTGAAAGATGCGGGTATGCGGGTCGGAAACGCAACATGAAAGTCGGAAAATATCATAAAACCTTTGCGGGACACGTAGATGTGAGACGGGAGAGCCTGCAATGAAAAGCATGAGAAAAGGAACGATTCCAGAAGCGCTGATCCTTGCCAGTGATCGGTTCTTCAAGAACGTGAAGTGATAAGCATCCTGGGATTGTAAACTCTGGCTGGCCAACGTCGGCGTCGAGATATGCAACAGCTTTGTACCTGCATGAGCATGAGCGAGCCAGGTCTAAGACAAATCAAGAATCCACCTGGTCAGCAATCTGTTGACGAGGAAACGGGCAAAAGTCGACTTTCCCACGCCTTTCCCTCCGCAGACTGGAACAACAGGTGGAAGCCTGTCACATACGGACATTATCAAGTCGGCAGTGGACGACCACTCGCAAGGTATAATGGTCGGCCGCATGCGCTTCTGAGCTCCTTCCACAACATCACTGCTTATTTGTTTCCTTTTCCTGGATTCAGCATTTTGGTCAGAAGATGAGCGGGAGTCATCGACAATTTCCTGCAAACAGAAGACTTAAGGAGTGCCGGTCTATGTAACACAACTTACGAGAGTAAAAGACAGCGAGTCGTCATCCGGCTGCTCGAGGCTGCAGGAGCTGAAACGGAGGACGCACCCGCCTTGGCTCGTCTGGAATGTTAAAGCCGAGCATAGCGTCGAGCAAGATTTCACAAGAACTTCCGTGGCCCGAATAAGGGAGTAACCATGCATGGAAGCACTTCCTTCGGTCAGGCACACCATGGCACACCCATCAAACGCAAGAGTCTGCCAGATGCACAAGCGATCATGGGAGCGTCTCTCGTTGCTTGCGTACCTGGTTGGCCGCAAGCCGGACTATGGCTTTGTTGTCGTCCACAAGTTGAACGCTGCAGTAGAGTTAGGAGGTGGAGAACAACCAGAGCACCAGTACCAACCTGACGGCCTCTTCACTGATGGGGTGAGCGTTGCTCGCGGCCGGGAAAACCGTGCGCCTTCTCGTCCGGTCTTGTTTGCTGGTAGCGTGGTCCGCTCGCTTGCGTTTGCATGGCAGGCCCTTGACAAAGCACCGAGCGGCGAGGTTGAGGAAAATGCTCCTGCTGTCGGGCAGGAGGCCTTTCATGGCGGTGGTGGGAAAGAGGGGGGGAGGGGGTTACAAAAGCCCTTAGGCCTGGAGTGGTTTCTCGTACGTGTTCTGGTCCCTAAACTCCTGAAGCCGCTTCTGGATCATGTCCACCACATTGGGCTGCACGAAGATGTTAGTGTCATCCAGCACGTAGATGATAAACTGCTGGGCCGCGGGGAGCTGGTCGTTCATGTGAATGACAAACTGCGCCATGGGTATGTCGCTGCACGCACCACGGCCACGGCCATCAAGCGCAAAAAGCAGCGGGCAAGTGTGACGCACCAGCTCACCAGGACGCCCTTGATCGCCTGCACCATGGCGCCGCCCACCCCGCGCACGCCTACCTATAAGCCCTAGCTCCTCCTAAAATCTCTGTACAAGAATAAGCCTAGCTAGTCCCCCCACTTTATCACGGCTGCGACTTTGTGGGAAGGATGGTGTCCGCCAGCTCCCTGTTGATTGCAATCTGGAGCGGGGGCATGTGGCTCATGATCCCCGATACATTAGACATCCTGCCAGGGAAAGAAAAGCTGGATTAAGTTCTTGCAAGCCAGAGCATGTATGTATGAATGTACCCGTCGAGGAGCGCTTCCAGGTTGTCCCGGAACTTGGCCAGGAGATCCGTGTTCTCCTGGGCCTGCATCGCACCGCCCTTGTCAAGAAGCAGGACGTCAAAAACAACAGCGACATACCTTGCCAGCAGCCAGGTTGGCTCGTATCTGCACAACCACTTGGAGGTTTTGGTCAAACAGCTCCCCGGCGGTGCCACCGATTGCTGCGGGAAACAAGCACAACGTCAGGCATCGAGAGTGAAGCAAAGTGGACCAACCTTCGTTTGAAATACCATCGTCGGCATCAATAGGAAGGGGCGCGGTAGAGTACATGGGCATGGAGCCGGTGTTGGTGCTCGTGTTGTTGTTGTTGTTGTTGCTGTTGCCGTTGCCGCCGGTCTTGGCCAGAGCTGCTGTTGATGGCTTCACGTCTACAGTCTTATCCTGCCCAACGACCAACCAACGATCCAACGAGGGCCAAAGAAAAGAGACAAGTGCTCACCTTCTTGTCCTTGGATTTCTTGGAAGCGTTGTGTTGTTCTTCGGCCTTCCTCCGCTTGCCGACCTCCTTCTTCTGCAAAGCCCCCACAAGTCAGTGTGAGCTCCCTGGACAAAGGAAGAAAACAACTCACGGCCATCCATCGGCATCGCAGAGCAACGTCCCTCACGCTCTTGTCCGACAGAAGGGCTGCGATCTTGATGTACTTCCACACGCCTGCCTCACTCCCAAAGCTGCAAGGAGAGCACACAGACAGAGGTTACGAGGAGGAAATACATGGAGAAAGGGACTGACGTGTGGAGGCTCTCGTCCAGAATGGATTGCTCCTCGGCGCTCCACTCAACAGCCAGGCCTGGATTGTGAAGAAGTTGGTGCTTGGAATCTGCGGGCGTTGGTGCTGCGCATGGTGGAGGAGGAGGAGGGGGATGAGTGCGAGCTCCATTGGCCATGGCCGTAGCAGCAGACTCCGATTTTACGACAAGGCCAACAGCAGTAGCCATTGTCCTATACTATTCCCGCCATAGCCCTAGCTCTAGGGCAGAGTAAAGGGGAAGGATATACTTTACGATGGCCTCCTCCTCCTCTTCCACTGACACATCGCCCCTGGTAACTTCTCGCAGCGCCCAGAGCTCCGAGCAGGTGCTGTGCCGGATCTGCTTAGACTCGACAGGTGAGTGAGCGCGAGCGAGTCGCGATCTAGGTTATACAAATTATTCATTTCGTTCAAATTTTGATCAGGCCATGACTTAATCGCACCTTGCCGCTGCAGAGGGACTCAGAAGTTTGTCCACAGGTCTTGCCTCGATAGCTGGAGAGCCGCCAAGGTGAAGCCTCGCTCACCATTTTCATTCGTGAATCGTCACTCAAACGGAGCGTGCAGTGCAGGAAGGATCCGCATTCTCACGCTGCACGGAATGCCGAGCGACGTTCCACCTGCGAGCCAATGTGCCACACGACAGATGGTGGCGAAGGCTCAAGTTCCAGCTGCTGGTGATGAGAGATCACGCCGCCATCGTCCTGGCTGCTCAGCTGGTAAGCCTTTGGACAATGCATGCCCCGAGGCTTGATAGCCTACACTCCTTGCAACAGGTTGTGGCATTTCTGGGCCTGGTGGTGTACCTGCTGTATGGGAGGGAGCTTAAGGAGATGTTTGGATACTCGCGGCATCCTTACGGCTTCTATTCACTTGCAGGTTCGTTCGTGCTTGCCACTCCAAGGGAAACAAAATCTAGCTTTTCTTCCCTCAGTTGTCGTGGCCCTCCTCTCGGGACTATCGTACGGATTCTTCGTTTCCATCATCTGCGGCCAACGAATCAGCAACCGGCACTACCACGTCCTTGCAAAGCGCGAGCTGTCTCAAGTAAGTAACTTGTCATCTATAACAAGGTTATAGCACTTGGCTGAATTCACTTCAAGCAGGAATACGTGGTGCAAACAATCAACGATGGAGAAGAGGCACCGCCTAGCTTAGATCCCGTGCACGTCAATGAGCTCAAACGCCTTGGCCTCTACTGAAAGTTGGGAAGTCTATTTTTTGATGATACAATGTATATCTGCAGAACGGAGAATGGAATGTTGGTGTCACATTCTGTCTTCCTGGAGCGCCTTTTGAACAAGCTCCTTCTGCTCACGGCTATGCACACTGCCGAACCCCGTCGCAGTTGCTGCAGAGGGAGGCCTTCCCACGTACTTGAGGTCCTCGAAGCTGCCATGCTCCACGGAAACCATGGCAGTTGCCAAGCGAGGAGCCATGTAGGGAAATGCACCCATATTCATCGGCTCCTCTTGGCACCAAACAACGTCCGCATCTACGCACACACCCGAGTTTGAAAAAGAAGATAAACTGGCTGGCTTACTTGGATATCGCCTGAGTTCTCGTTGGAGGAGGTCGTAAGGAACCGGGCAAAGCTGCTCCACGCGGCAAATGGCTACGTCTTTGGCACCAACACGCTGCTTTTCCTCGTCCAGCTCATAGTACACCTAGACAAGCACACGCTATAGGCTCACCGTCTGGCCTCGCAAAATTTACCTTTCCAGAGCAGAGAACGAGGCGACGAACCCCCGACTCCACTTCAGCATGGTTGTTTTGGTCCTTGATCAGTCGCTTGAATCGGGTGCCTTGCTTATCAAACCCAGGATGTCCCTCAACATCGTTAAATTCGGACAGACTTGACCGACACGCCTGGTGGCGCAGTAAATTTTTTGGCGCCATGACGACAAGAGGTTTCCTAAAGTCCCGATGAATCTAAGCGGCGAACAAAAGAGCGAGTGATATAGCTCACGATCATAACACCTAGTGCTTACCTGCCGGCGGAGTACATGGAAGTAATTGGCAGGAGTTGTCACGTTCATCACCTGCCAGTTGCATTCTTGAATCTGTTTGCGAAGGGACACCTCCATCTCAGGAATGACGAATGGATTGTCATCGCTCATCTGCAGTCATGTTTAGCAATCCCAAGATGCATCGAAAGCTTGTATTACGAAACCTGTAGAAATCTTTCCAGCCTCGCACTCGAGTGCTCTGGTCCCTGCCCGTCATAACCGTGTGGCAGCAGGACGACCAGGCCCGTCTGACGCAACCATTTTGCTTCCCCGCTGCTCAGAAACTGATCGAAGATCACCTGGCAACCGTTGGAAAAATCTCCAAACTGGGCCTCCCAACAAACCAACGAGTTTGGGTTCTCCATCGAATACCCAAGCTCAAACCCAAGCACTCCAAACTCCGACAGTGAGCTGCATGCACCACATGTTATCAGTACCTACGGAAGGTAGAAGTACGAGCCCACCTGTTACTGACTGTAAACATTTCGTCCTCCTGATTCTTCACCACATGGTTCAGAGGGCAATACTTTTCGCCAGACTTCTGGTCGTGTACGACAGCATGTCTGTGGCTGAATGTGCCTCTCTCAACGTCCTGACCGCTCAGGCGGACATGGTTGCCCTCGGCAAGCAGCGTCGCAAAGGCCAAGGCTTCTGCAGTCGCCCAGTCAACACCTTCTCCCGTCTCAATCATCTGCGCACGTTGCTCGTATACTTTCTTGATCGCTCTGTGTGCCGTGAAAGTTGGAGGTAGCGTGGTGATCGCCTTGCCAAGGTTCTTCAGAATCTCCGGCTTCACACTGGAGTGGTCATCACATGCGGGTGTGATCACAAATCCACCCTTACCCCGTGTTTCGTAGCCTGGACAGCTGCTCCGGGCCTTTGAATCCTGTCCAATATGCTGCAAGCCAGTCTTGTGTCTTTGGGATATAGTCTTTGCTGCTCTGAAACTCTTCGTTCAAGATCGCCATCACCTTGTCGTGCACCCTTGCAATGTCCTCCTTTTTCAGCTGCCCGACTTGGGCCAGCTTCTTCTCGTAGATGTCGAGAGAAGTGGGGTGGCCCTTGATGACCTGCCAGAGTACGCACACACGTCAAGGGACATGTGCATGCAAGATACCGCAGACGTACCTGATACATCTTAGGCTGAGTGAAGTTCGGCTCGTCGATCTCGTTGTGACCAAACCGGCGGTAGCAAACGATGTCAACGACGACATCCGCCTTGAAGTGGCATCTCCACTCCGCCGCCATCGCACAGGCGTGGACAACGGCCTCCACATCGTCGCCATTGACGTGGAAAATGGGAGCGTTCAAGGCCTTGGCAACGTCGGTGCAGTAAGGAGAGGAGCGACTGCTCTTGGGGTCGGTGGTGAAGGCCACCTGATTGTTGACGACGATATGAATGGTACCGCCAGTTGTGTAGTTGGGAAGGTCGCTCAAGTGCAGCGTCTCGTACACCACACCTTGCCCCGAGAAGCTGCCGTCGCCGTGGAGCAAGACGGCCATGTTTCTCTTGCGCTCGACGTCTTGCGAGTAGTACTGCTTGGCCCTCGTCTTTCCGATGACAACCGGGTCCACGGCTTCCAGGTGGCTTGGGTTTGCAACGAGCGAGAGGTGAATCCTCTTACCGCTGCGCGTTGGCCTGTCGTAGGAAGTGCCCAGATGGTACTTGACGTCACCACTCCCGGTGTAGCCACCTTTCTCGACGTCGGCGGGCCTTATCCCGGCACTAAACTCGCTGAAGATGTGCCTCAGCGGTTTCCTCACCACATTACCCAGCACGTTGAGCCGACCCCTGTGAGGCATGCCAATGACAATGCTGTCCACGCCCAGGTCGGCGGCCCGGTCGATGAGCTCTTTCATTCCCGGGATGAGCGTCTCGCAACCCTCGAGGCCAAAGCGCTTGGCAGCAGTCCACTTTTGCGCCAGGAAGTTCTCAAAGCGCGTCCCCCAGATGAGGCGATCCAGGATGATGGCCTGCTTCTCCCGCGAGTAGTTGCTGGGGACGTGCTGCTCGATCCTCTCCCGCAGCCAGTTACACTTGTCCCTGTCCGGGATGTGCATGTACTCGTAGCCAATGCTCCCGCAGTATGCCTGCTCTAAACGCCTGAGAATGGCCCTCAGCGTCTGGACAGGGCGATTCTCGGACAAGAAGCCCGACATCCTCCACACCCCGATGAAAAACTCCCGGTCCAGGTCGGCATCCGTGAATCCATATAGAGCCGGGTTGAGGTCCTGCGGGGGCACGCGCTGCTCCAGCCCCAGGGGATCCAGCTGCGCTTTGATGTGACCATTCACCTGGTAAGCTCTCAGCAGCAGCAGCAAGCGCATGCTCTCTTGGATCGTCTGTCCCGACAGGCCGGGACTGGATGCCGCCTTGCCCGTGAAATTCCGGAAGAAGTTGTCCCACGACTCGTCCACGCTCCTGGGATCCGCCTCCCACGCGCGCTGGAGCTCTTCCAAGTAGACGCTGCTGGTGCCGTCGAGGAAGTTGTCAGTGAGGCGGGAGAGAGGGATGGAGCGGGGCGCGGGCGGCTTTTGCATCCACCGCGGGCTCCCACGGAAATGCACCGCGTCTCTTTTGGCTCGAGGCGGTCTAACAATCGTATGGAAGGATCCAGTCTCGACGCGCAGCCACGGCAACACAAGCCTGGACGAGACCCTCGCCGCCATCGCAAGCCCTAAATTATTTCATTTGTCATTCTCCCGCGCAACAAGCCTTTCACCAAAGGCCCGCGCAAGCATGTCCTTGGGCTCAATCCCCCACCCCACGCTCGCCTCGTACGCCGCCACCACCGAGTCTGGAGACACGACGAGCCCCTGCGAGGCCAGCGCTCTCACAGCGTTGCCCACCCGGCAAATCCTCTCCCTGGTTGCCAGCGGAATCGGGATCGCCGGCCCATCCTCCTGCTGCTGCTGCTGCTGCTGCTGTTCACGCTGTGCAACGCTTGATATCCACACGTAGCCGTTGCACCCAAAGATAACTTCCACCTGGTACTGCCCAAAGCTGTGAAAGTGCTGGCTCAAGCGCTTGATGAGGTAAGGCTCAACCTTGACAAGCTGGCCCATTTGCAGCTGCCAATCCGGATAGAACGTCAGCCCCAGATTCGTGCTGCTTGTTTTCTTGCTTACCTTGCCATACTTCAAGCTCCGGGTGTGGAGGTGGATGGAGTCCTGGCTCGCAGATTGCACCTCAGCCTGCATGCATCGATAAGTCTCCACAAAACAAAACTAGCACATACACTGATGAGGTCACCTTCTACAAACACAGAACGCATATTGAGCTCGTCGGTGGCCGTCCGCCGCCTCTGCAGGAGATGCGCAATGTAGTATATAGCAGTGCGGAATGCGGATGATTTACCTGGATTCCACCTGGTAAATTCACCGCGGACAGCATGAGATGTGCGTCCTGCTTGGAGTTGACATCCACCTTCCATCGCTTTTGGGCAAGCTGGAAACAAGTACGAGTCAGCCGATCACCTCTCCAACGGTTCAACCAACCTCGGTGACTCGGCCGATGACAACATCTCCAACCCGTGCTTCGTACCTTGTGTCGCCAAGGTTGACAAAGACTACATCGGCTCTCTACAATACAAGAGTGCCCTACCTGGAACGAAGCGGCTTGACAAACACGAGCTTGTTCACCCGCTCGACAGTGCCGCAAACAGTGGCTACCAGCTCCCCGTCTACAAGCTGCGTTCCGTGCCCTCTAAAAGAACAAGCATGGCTTCAAGGGTTGCCTGGAAAGAGGCCGCCTCCTTTTACCTCAGGATTCCGTCCTGGTGATCCACCTGGATCACATCTCCAATCGCGACCAGCGCCCGCATCCTTGTCGAAACCCTAGCCCCGCTTTAGGTCGCGCGCAGGCATGGCCATGGATGCGGTGGCGCTCACCGTGGGCGGCAATGCGGCGGCGGCGGCGCCGGTGGATGCCGAGCGAGCGCGCTTCCCGCACTGCGTGGTGTGGACGCCATTGCCCATCGTCTCGTGGCTGTCGCCGCTCATCGGCCACGTAGGGATCTGTCGCGCCGACGGTGTCATCCTCGACTTCGCCGGCCCCTTCTTCGTCAACGTGGACGGCTTCGCCTTCGGCTCGCCCGCAAAGTTCCTCCGCCTCGACCCCGACCAGGTGCGTAGTGACATGTTGCAGCTAACCGCATGACACTGGTTGCTGCGCAGTGCTGCTTCCCCGCATTCGCCTTGTCGGGGCACCGCTGCCGGGAGGCGTTCCGGCACTCGCAGCTGGGTACCGCCAGCGACTGGGACGACGCCCTGCGCAGCTGCATGCACAAGTTCCAGCACAAGACGTACAACTTCTTCACCTGCAACTGCCACTCGTTCGTCTCCACCTGCCTCAACCGCGCCGCGTACCAGGGCCGCACCGACTGGAACATGATCCACATCGTCGCCCTGGTGCACTGCCGCGGCCACTGGATCGGCCCCGCCGCGCTCCTCAGGTCGCTCGCGCCTTTCGTCCTCGTCCTCTGCATCGGCCTCCTCACCGCCGGCTGGCCCTTCCTCGTCGGCTGGGCGCTCATCTCCTCGCTCCTGGCGGCATGGTTCGTGTTCGCCACCTGTTGCGCCCGCGGCGTCGCCGACTGCTAGCCCGAGGCCCGGGCTTTTTTAGGGCTCCCTCCCGGCTTCTCGTGCCTAGGGCGCACCCACACACCATGTTCTATGGCGCAGCGGTGTGGGATCCGTGGCTCATTGTGTCGCAGATCGTCTGCATCCAGTGCCTGAGCTATGTCAGCCTTGGCGCGCTGCTGTGGGCATTCGTGGGAGTCCAGGTACCGAGGTTTACGCTCCACTTCTTCTTCGACCACACGCTGCTCTCCTTCTCCTCCGCCACCGGCTGGTGCCTCATCTCGGCCTTCATCCTCAACTCGCTCCTAGTGTAAGTGCCTGCCCCTCCCCTCCAGATCCACACAAACAAATCTCTCATTCTCCCTTTTAGAGCTGCCTACCTGTTCGTGCTGGTGGAGAGGGCCAAAAAGTGCCTGGATTTCTCGGCCACTGTCTACATTATTCACTTGGTCTTGAGCTCCATCTACGGGGGATTCCCGCTAACTGTGACGTGGTGGTTGCTCATGGGGACGTGCTTGGCCGTCACTGCCCTCCTTGGCGAGTGGCTCTGCCTCAGGCGCGAATTGAGGGACATCCCCATTAGAACGGCGCGTGCAAGTAAGACGGCGCCTCTTGTTGCTTCTCGTTCCCTAAGCTTTTCTTTTGTCGGCAGCTGTTTAGCAACGAGACGGAAGACCTCCATTCTTTTCCCACCACAACGACAGGCGCGTGTAAACTACTACCTAGGTAGCCAGAGACACTTCGATTCAGTAGATGGCGGCGGCGATTTGCTCCAGCGGCAGCACAGGCGCCGGGAGTGGCACTTCTCGTGCAGTGGTGTGCGGTGCGGGCGTTATCGGTACCTGTACCGCTTACTTCCTGGGGAAGAGGGGCGTCAAGGTGACGGTCGTGGACAGCTGTGGCGTGGCTACGGCAGCATCGGGTAAGGCTGGTGGCTTCCTTGCTCTCGACTGGTGCGATGGTTCTCCGGTCGGGAACCTGGCGCGAGCAAGCTTTGCCCTGCACCGGCAGCTTGCAGACGAGCTTGGCGGCGAAACAAATTACGGGTACAGAAGGCTGGATGCGCTGAGTGTCACTGTCAAAGAGCCTACAGGGACAACAGGTGCAGGAGCTTCCGCCTCTCTTCCATCGTGGATCGATGGTGCAATCAGGAAATCCAGTTCCATCGGGAGCCAGGCAACTACAGCTCAGGTCCATCCTCAGCTCTTCACTCGGACCGTCATGTCCCGTGCCGAGTCTGACTTTGGAGCCGAGTTCCTCAAGGGTACTGTGCGAGAGATCAGAGTCGACCCCGAGACGGCCCAGGTTTCAGGGGTGGTGGTTGATGACAAGTTTGTGGAAGCGGAGACGGTGGTGATTGCTCTCGGCCCCTGGTGTGGAAAGCTAAAGCTTGTGACCGACTTAACAAGCATTTCGGGGCTGAAAGCACACAGTATTATCCTGCAGCCTCGTGAGGGACGGGACATCTCCCCGCACGCTTTGTTCCTCAGTTTCACCTCTAGGGAGGGTGAAACCATGGATCCAGAAGTGTATCCACGTCCCACCGGGGAAGTCTACGTGTGCGGTATGTCGGAGCATGTGGAACTTCCTCCAGATGCGGACCACGTCGAGCCCAAGGCCGAAGCGATGGACATGTTGAAGCGAGTTGCTGGGGCCGTGTCGAGTCAGCTGGATGGCTGCCCAGTCAAGGCTCAGCAGGCGTGTTTCCTGCCGCTCTCGGTTGACGGTGTTCCTCTCATTGGAAAGCTTCCTCACGCAGCCGGTGTCTACTTGGCAACCGGCCACAGCTGCTGGGGAATCCTGAATGCACCGGCGACCGGTGCAAGTCTAGCGGAGCTCATTGTCGAAAGCCATTCTACGACAGTGGATCTCAAGCCCTTCGACCCGGCTAGATTTCTCACCGCAGAGAAAGGGAGAAGAAAGTTTCTTTGATCAGATTACCAGTCTTCCCCACTCCAGCAAGGCCCTCCAGAGTGATGAAGAGCGCCTGCTCTCTGCTAATCCCACTAGATGCGAAAGTGGTGGGGATGGTATGTATCTAGGCCCACTCACCATGAAACAGTGGTTTTCTAATAACATCCGATTCTATATCCACCATCTTAGCGATGTCTGCGCACAGCTTGGTGTCGTAATCCTCGGGCTGTAGCTCCACTCCCAGCTCCTTGTCAATGTCATCTGATGCGGGTACGAGGATGAACTCACAGCCTTCGTAATTAAGAAGATCTGGAGGATGGACCGGCACAAACCTGTAGGACCCCATGAGCGCTTGCAGCTTGGCGGGGTACATTGCTTTTCTCTTGTTACCCAAGCCTGCATTCGGCGGTGCTCCAGCACTAGGATTCTTTGCCTGAAAGAAACTCAACCTTAGCATCCATCTATCTACCTACGAACTTCGAGTCGAATCTCACTGAGATAATAAAGGAGGCCTCCTTTTCGAGATTCAATTCCTCCTGCAGAGCAGTGTGTTCCTCCTTGGGTTTGTCCAGCTTGTATATGAGGTGTGTGTGATTCTTGTGCTTTAGAATGCAGTAAACGCCTTCCCCTGCCGGACGGGCTCCTGGCTGGACCCGGTGCCCGCGAGTCTTCGTGTCATATTCATCTGGCATCTGGTTTCAGAAGAGAACGCAATAATGGAAATGTAGCTTACGAGCCGAAAGGCTGTCTTTCATCGCTTGGATGGAAGTCGTGACCAAGTCCACGTAGCTCCACGCCGGACGACCTTTTGCAGCGGGATCAGGCAAGACCTTCCGTCCTACTATTATCAGTCTCATCAGCAAGCGTGTTGTCAAATCCACCTCCTGCACGAAGTGATCGATCAGGAACCATGGATAACATAAAAGATGGTCAGGTCAACACACCTGCATGCCCTGCTCCCCTGGTTTATCATCCTTGATCTCCTCCCGTAGCTCCCCGGCAGACTTCTCATCTCCGTTGCCATCCCTGTCACCTTCTTTAGGTGTCCCCTTCACATTAACCGTGCGCTGGATGTCGTCAGCTTCTTTCTTTCCTTCGACAGCGTCCTTGGACTCTTCCAGCGTCTCCTTCACATTCTCCGAATGTGGATCTTGCTTCACTTCCAGGCTGTTATCGGCTGCGACTGGGCGGAGAACCATGTAAAGACGCTGTACCTCTCCGGCTGAGTGTGGATGCTCCACGTCAATCTTCGGGCGGTAAAAGAAGAAAATCTCCCCTATTTCCTGCCAATGTTTCGACGCATGTGTCAACATAAACAAATCGTGGTAACATACCGACACTTCCAAATCACTTCGGTTCTGCAACTTCTCCATGTTGTTTCTTGTCAGGAACAGAAAGAAGAATACTTGCCCCGGCCCTCGGGACCCTTCACTTGCTAGTATAAGATAGAGACAAGTGTCTTGCGTACGTGTCATGCAACCAGAATTTCAAGAAACAACCTTCATTGGAGGCGGCCCATTTATTTCAGCTGCAGCTTGACACACACCATCAAAACTTTTAGAAATCTCGAAATCTAAAACAACAAGAACCTCTCCTCAATCGCTATCGCTGTCTTGACTTCCATTCAGGTAGTCCAACAAAACTTGACTCGCCAGTTTGTGCACGCTAAGACCCTTCTCATCCGCCTGCTTCTCCAATGCAGCATGGACATCAGAGTCCAGAAGAATGCGTGACCTTCCAGTACGAGGTCCTTTGTAAGTTTCGATGTGACTTTTTAGTACATCAAATCCCTGCATCGAAGACATTATTCAGCAACAATACCAGGCATTTGGATTAACAATACCATTCTCATTGTAAAATCTCCAAAAGACTCTTCAGATGTTCGTCGTGCTTTCCACAGGTAGAAGAGAGGCTCTAAAACCCTTTCAAAGTCCTGAATCTTTACTTTCTCCATAAAAGTTTGAGCCAACCGTGTCTGGTTTGCCGTGCCTCCGAGCCAAATCTACCATTGACATAAACGTGTAAATTGAAAAAGCACCACAGAAAATTACCTGATAACTATTTGCTCCATCTCCGACCAGTCCAAGTTCTGCCATGTATGGCCTCGCACAACCATTAGGACACCCGGTGACTCGCACCACCATCGAATCCGCCTCCTTGAGGCCCACCTAAGCAAATAATAGAGAGCAAAGATTTAACACAAGAAACACAACAAGACATATCACCTTATCGAACATAGCTCGGATTCTTTTAAGTATGCTCGGTATGCCTCGTTCAGCCTCTGCGATTGCCAACGGGCACAACGGTAGTGCTGGACATGCCATGGACGTCAAGTTAAGACTATCTATGTGACGAGGGGCCTGCAATGTTTGTCATGAGAAAAGAGCTCACCATAAAAAATCAGCATACCAGCAGTCCCACTTGAGCAAGTGTCTTTGTAATCCGTGACTTCCAAGAAGGTCGAATGTCACATAGAATCAGATTTTGATTGGGAGTCAAACGCACACTTAGCTGATATGATTCGATTATCTCTCGGAGCGTTTTCTTGGCATCACCTTTGATTCTTCCGTTGTCTACATGAACACCAAAGAACAGTTTGCCATCTCCCTGACAATGTAAACCGTTTAGAAAGGGGGAAAAAACGCAAAGATGGAATACCTGTTCATGCCATCCTAAGTAGCTCTCAAACTTCCAAGGTGGAAGCGTCTGAAATGTTTCAAACTGCTTGCCGTAATAGCTCTCTACAACCGAACGGAACTTGTCGATTCCCCAGTCATGAACCAGGTACTTCATCCTTGCCTGGCGTCTATCGTCGCGGCGGCCATAATCCCTCTGCGTCGCCACAATGGCTTTAACAGCGTGCAAGAGGTCATCTTTGGAGACATATCCCAGAGGTTCGGCCAACCGAGGAAATGAAGTTTCTATGCGATGTGTCCTGCCCATCCCTCCGCCGACCTTGAAACAAAAACAAGTCAGAACGTTCAGAAGGGTCGAGCTCGAGATAAAACTTACATAAATGTTGTAACCTTGAAGCTCGTCAGCCTCATTGACGATGGTGACAACCCCAATGTCGTTGGTGAGAATGTCGACTGAGTTGTCGGAAGGAACCGTGACGGCAATCTTGAACTTGCGCGGTAAGAACTGGGTGCCATAGATTGGTTCCGGGGAGCCCTCAAAGTTTGTCCCGTGAGAATTGTCATTACGGGCCTGGGTGACATCAGGTGGCTCAGCAGACATGACCTTCTCACCGTCCACCCAGAGGTCATAGTAAGAACCGGCTTGAGGTGCTAAAAGAGCCGCAAGTTTATCCGCAGCCTCCACTGCGTAGAGATAGTCCTTCCTGTTCTTGAAGGGTGCCGCCGGGGCCAGCACGTTTCGATTGACATCACCGCATGCGCCTAGCGTGGATCCCATGTTTTTGATGATGGTGCTCATCACGGTCTTGAGATTGTGCTTGAGCACCCCGTGAAGTTGGAAGGTCTGCCGCGTCGTCAGCCGCAAGGTGCCGGATCCAAACTCGTCGGCAAGATCATCCATCACCTTGTAGAGCTGATTGGTGACGATACCCGCAGGCTGCTTGGTCCGGAGCATAAACTGGTACGCCTTTCCGCTGCGAACGTCCCGATCGGCCTGCTGGTAGCTACCGTGGAACTTGATCAGCTGGACAGCGGATTCATTGATGTTTGGAGCCTCGGTCTCAAGCTCCTCCCGCAGGGGAAAGCGCAAGAAGTTGCTGTTTTCCTTGATCAACTCCACCTTGCTCCGCTTGGCAGGAAGCGTGGCCGGAGGCCTGGCAGGCTGTGGGATTATTGTCAGAGGATCCAAGGGCGAGGGAATGTACGCGACTTACCGCGGCCACGGCTTCAGCACGGACGACGATCATCCGCGTTTGCTGCTGCTGCTGCTGCTGTTGCAAGGAATCCATCCGCCGCAGCAACATCGATGAGCTGGGGATGCTAGCCTTGGCGAGTCTGAGGCCTCCATAGCTGGGGAGAGAGGAGGAGCCGCATTCTGGTAGCGAGCAAGCCGCCATAGCGATCGTGGGCAATTTTGCTTTGCTCCCAAAACCCTAGAGGGTATTTGGACTGGATTCAATGAACATGGTGCTGCCACGTGTCGCGAAATTTCCATCTGGATTCCTGGGAAGCGGGTTAATCCAGCAAACTGAGCCCAGTTAGGGCAAATGGGTAGGTAGCGACACAGCAGTCATGTGTGGATGGAGGAGGAGGGACAGGAGGTTTGTTTCGACGCGCTCCCGGATTCCGTAGCGTGCGCCATCCTGTCCAAGCTCAGGGACGCACAGACCGTGGCTCAATGCGCCGCGGTGTGCCGGCGGTGGAGGGCTCTGTGCGCTGCCGTGGACGCGCTGAGCTTCGAGTCGTTCCAGCTCTTCGAGAAGCGCGTGGGCAGGGCGAGCAAGGCGTCGTGCCTGGAGGCGATCGTGTCGCGGATGCTGCTACGGAGTGACGGGGTGAGGGAGCTGGGGATTTGCTACCACCCCGTGGAGTGGCCATGGATCCGCGGCGACCACTTCAGCGAGGACAAGGTGTGCGCGTGGCTGGGCCACGTCCGAGCCTCGCTGGAGAAGCTGGTGCTGGTCGACCCCAACAGGGAGAGGCCACAGCCGCTCAAGCTGCTCCAGCTCTCGCGCTGCCCCAGGCTCAGGTGGCTCAACCTCTGCTACGGGATCATCCCCGACCTCCCAGGCGACATGAAGCGCATGGAGAGCCTGCGGACGTGTGTGCTCGACCTCATTGCCATCACCGACTCGGCGCTCGAGGCGCTGCTGCTCCTCTGTCCTTGCCTCGAGGACCTGCGCCTCAACTCGTGCAAGGGGCTTCGCGCCCCAAGCCTCGTCTCGCCGAGACTGGCGTCGCTCGAGTTGGTGCACGAGATGGACATGTGCGAGGCGACCGTCGCCTGCCTCAGCCTCGACACGCCCAAGCTCACCAGGCTGTCGCTCAGCTACGTGGAGGAGCTCATTGCCGACGGCGAGGCGCTGCTGGAGCTAGGCCTGCTGTGCCACGTCCGTCCCAGGATCCGGGACCTGTCATACCTCACGGCGCTGCAAATGAAGGGCGAGGTGTGGCTGCTGGAGAGCATTGTGGAGCTGGTGCGGCTGGGAGCCAACGTAACTCAGCTCCATGTCGACGCCGTTATCGACAACAAGAGCCCCATTCAGCTCGACGCCTTGTTTCGCCACTTGCCGCTGCTCACCAAGCTCTACATTGGTGCCGACATGTTTGAGGTATGGCCTCCTTTCTCTTGCGTGACGCTATAGCTCGACTTTGCTGGCTGCGTGAGCAGTGCGTGCAAGCTGGTGCCGCCGGCGTCACGGGCAGCGCAACCTTGCGGCTCCCGCGACTGGAAGAAATAGTCGCCGTGGTGTGCAGCGGCAGCAACGGCTGCATCGCAGTGCTGGCCACGCTACTCCGATGCTCCTCGTCTCTGCGATCCCTGCGAATAAACGCGCACCAGCTGAGCAAAGGCGTTGGAAACATCACGTTCTTCACCGATGTCTTGGGCTTGCAGAGGGAGTTTTCGCAAGTCGAGATTGTCCTCGACTGTCCTTATACGTTACTGTGAGATTTGGGGAATGGCTTGCCGTTGCAAGCGCGTGTACATAAAAAGCGAATAACGAAGTGTAAATACAAATGGATCGATGACAAGCTTTGCTTCAGCTCACAAAATCCTCTTGAGCTCGTTCCTTAGTGCCTTCAGAGATACTGGCTTGGTGAGCACGGCCTTCATTCCCAGGCTCAAACACTTCTCGCGGGTGCTATCGTCGGTGTTTGCAGTCAAAGCCACAATGTGAAGCCCTTCTCTTGGATATAGCTTCTGGATCTCTGCTGTTAGTTCGTATCCGTCCATCTGATCGACACATAAGTTCGTTCAAGAGTGAAAAGAAAAGAAGGAAAGGGGATCACCTCTGGCATGCACAAGTCGACGAGGACAATGCTATACGCCGAAGGTCCTTCTGCCGCAAGAGTTTTGAGGCAAGTTTCCCCGGATTCCACCACAGTCGATTTGCATCCAAGATTGTTAAGCAGCCTGCGAATCACTGTCCTGTTGACGGCATTGTCGTCCACAGCCAGGATCTGAAAGCCCGCACGGTCATTGAAGAATGTCCGAGTTAGAAGGGACTCAAATACCTTCAAGCTATGGAAATTATCTCCCGGGGCCTTTGGTGACAGGATCATATGAACTTGCTCCATCTCGGAGACAACCGAGACTCGCACATAGAAGCGGCACGTACTGCCTTTGTCCAAGCCTTCAGAGGTGATGGAAATGCTGCCATTCATCAGCTATAACCCAAAACTGTGAGCCAGTTAACCACTTTGAGAACAAAAGCTGGCTGACACACAAACCTCGACAAACTTTTTGGAGATCGCGAGCCCCAGCCCGGATCCACCATACTTGCGGGACGTGCTACTATCCGCCTGAACGAACTTGTTGAACAAACGGGGGAGATCAGTAGCTCTGATGCCGATTCCGGTGTCCTCAACCTCAAAATGAATGTACCTTTGCGTCATGCACCTTCCTGGTGATGCTGGCTCGTGTGATACCTGGGCGTCCGGAGCCTTGCTCGCAAACACTGTCAAGTGGACGTGGCCCTGAGCGGTGAATTTAATGGCATTCCCAACCTGCACATCACAAGTTTGAGGTGGTAAAACTTATCACCCTCAAGAGGTGATCAGAAAGTTACGTTTCCACTGCTCACCACATTGAGAAGAACCTGTAGAATTCGAGTGCTGTCTCCCATGACAGTGTCCGGAAGGAATCCCATCCTCTTGAGAGCGAATGGAAGATGTTTAGCCACCGCCAACGGCGAGACGAGCCTCTCTGCATCGTCCAACAGCTTGGCCACCTTGAATGGTTGGATATCTAGCATCAGACTCCCAGCTTCGAGCCTGGAGAAGTCGAGCACATCGTTGATCAACGTGGATAGCAGGCTGCCACTCTTGGATATGGTCTCCACCATGGACTGCTGGTCGGACGTGAGGCCCGAGTCGAGGAGCAAGGAGGAGAGCGCGATGATGGCATGCATGGGAGTCCGCATCTCGTGGTTCATTACAACCAGAAACTCGTTGCGGGCCAGAACTGCAGACTCGGCTTCCTTTTTGGCCTTCTGCAGGGCCAGGTTCTGCTCGATGAGCTGATCTTGCACTTTCAACGTTTCCTCGACTACAGCAGCATGGGACAAGGCAACTGCAACCTTAACAGATCAAATTAAGATGTCATTGTGAGAAACCACACCACCTGGCTGTAGAGTACCTGATCAGCAACAGCCTCGACGAGCTCAAGCTCGTGGTCACCCCATGCCTTTTGAAGGTTTTTTGGAAAGGACAGGACCATGAGAGCGTAGCATTCCTTGTCAGGATGACTAACGCAGCCGCTGCTGGCCAACAACGGGATTCTGATAGCCACCACGCTACCATGGTTGAAACTCGTCTGGCCAGCTCCCGCTAGCGGGCCCAGTGCCTTGGATGGCACCACAACCGCACCATTGTTGCTAAAGACCTGTGAATCAAGAGCAGGGAATAGATCACTCCTCATGCAGGTGCCCAACATACCAGGTCAACGAGGCTGGTCGAGAGGGGAATTTCAGGCGGAGCAAAAGTGTCCTGCGCTCCAAGCTTGTGCGCAAGCTCCAGAACGTTGGCACTCGCCCTGGGCATCCAAATGTTGCAGCTTTCCAGCTCGAGGGTGTGCGACAGCTCTATCATCGTCGTGCTTAGAATCTTGTGGCGATCCAGCGAGCTTCGGATCTCATCAGTGAGCATTCGGACATGCTTGAGGACTTGCTGATCTTTCTTGATATTTCCCACCTCAACGTCCAGTTCTGCAGTCTGCAAATTCAAGTCAGCCCAGTTTCTGGAGTTGCGGGGTGTGTGCTTGCCTTTTGCGTATAAAACTCCTCTCTCTTCTTTACATCAAGTAACTCCGGGATGACCCAGATCAAGAGTACGGCAGTTAGGCACGAGACAGTTGCTGTGACCACTTTGGCAATCGTCATGCCAATATGCGCCGCTTCCGAGTTCACGTAGAAGTTCCATAGCGTTAGCAAGTGTGTGATACCGCACAGGACAATGAAAAGACCAAAAAGAGCAATCACCCAGCGGAAGGGGAGCACCTGGAAAACCAAAAGCCGGCCTAAGGAGTGGCGTGTACGAGCTTCGAGACCACACGAACCTGGGATTTGATGAGAAAGTAGACCAGCTCAAGAGGGATCGAGAAATAAGCAACTGCAATGAGGAAATCGGAGCCAAGCTGCCATTTGGCGAGTACAGTGTGGCGCCTGTGTGACCAACCATTCGATTCCGTCAAGTCCGTCTGTCGGAGTTCCCTGAGAGCGAAGAAGAGCATCTTCTTCTCTGCTGCCTCCCTGCTGGTTCTACGTGACGAGCACGGGCACGAGCAACAGCGGGATTTTCGCAATCCTGGGATTCGGCATCACCGAAGCGTTCCATAAGCGATTGCTACCATTTGCTCAATCTGCTCTTTGGTCGTCCCTGAGCGCCAGCGATGCCGCAAGAAGATGGATAAAGTCCCCTCAGGTTAACGGAAATGTCATGTGACACCATTCTAAATCTCGACCGTCTGCCTCCCACCCATCTCAGCCATTGGAAACGCCAGCGCCTCGACAGTTGCTTGGCTCAAGAAGAAAAAAAACAAGTGGATTTTACAGGGTCAAGAGGCCCACGGCCATGGCGGTGGCGGGCACCGTTAGATTGTCGTCAAGAGCGCTGCTTATGGGCAGCGATTCCACGACCGTGGTTGCCAGCGACACGGCCACAATCCCGATGATTGTCCTCACGCCCATGTCAAAGTAGCCCAATTGCGAGAAGAGGAACGTATAGCTGCGCAGCAAAGGGCAAACAGCACAGGATGAGCATGGCCGTCAAGAGGCTCATTAGCTGGTACTGACAGCATGGAGAATGCGGCGCTCATGACAAACATCGCAACGCTTCCTTGGAGCGATTTGTTGGGATTGTAGGGGAGTTTCCAGCGACCGTACTTTCGTCCAAAGATATCAGCGAAGCCTGGTTGAGATTTCCGTCGACATCAAAGAGAAAAGAAAGGAAGTTTGTGTTACCATCTCCAGCACACAAGTTGGCGATCGTAACCACACCACATGGTGAATTCCTCCAGAAAAAGAGCGTTGCAATGGAGATTGTGATGGCGTAGTACAGCGGCCCTTTGAGCAGTTCCCTGTCCAACCACAGTTCTAAACTCATCTCCCTCGAAGAAGAATTTAGCCTGCTCCATACCTGGGGTGGCCATCACGGCTAACCGCCTTCACAAATGCCTTGTTCTCCAACAGCCCAGTTCCAAATGCCACCATTCTCAAAGCGTTGGTGAGCGGGGCGATGGCCGCCAGGTATCGCGCCCGAGGAGCATCGCTGCGTGGTGGTATTTAGAAAATGAAAAGGTTCCAACACTCAACCTGAAGAGCGGCCAAAAGAGCATGAAGATGAGCCCCACGCATATGTGCACCAGCTTCCTGCTTAGTTTCTACTAAAACGCACAACATTATGATGCTGCCAATATGTCAATGTCGATGAGATTGGTTACCTTGTCGAACACGTCCCTCTTGGCGAGCTCGTCAAAGAACCTGAGCGATCCCAGAGCTCCGGACAGTGTGACGGCGGACATGAGCAGATCGTAGCCCAGTTGATGCTGCTGCGGAAGTGGTGCCACGGATCCCATGTTTTGCAGCAGCCCAAAACCTGCGCAGGATCCGGAGCTCCTCCTTGTCGAAAAGACTAGGTCGTGTCTCACACTCACTACTGATGCTGATGCCCGGCTCTTATCTAGAATCCTCGGAATTGGGCACTCCCTCCGGGCGCCAAAACCTTGATCCCTGGCATGCAACGCGAACAGGGCCAGCTGACTAGCAGATGCCGCCATAGCCGGAGCTTGAACGGAGACTGATTCAACTTAAAAAATGTCAAGCGTACACGTTTGCTCCACATCTAGAAGGATGGACGTGGAGAAGCTCATCAGATCCTGCAAGAGCGCCGCGCAAGCCCAGCAGATAGGCGACGAGCTCGGATGGCTTACCGGCTCCGAATCCAGCCCACTTCCGCCCTTCCGCCGCCTCTACTTCTCCAATCTCCTCATCCAAATGCTGGGAGCCGTCGGGTGCGTGGATCGCGCTCGCCAGATCTTCGACTCCATGGTGGCCAAAGATGGATTCTCCTGGAACCTGATGCTGGCTGCCTACATTCACAACGGCCAGTTGCATGAAGCACTCGGCCTCTTTGCAGTCATGCCACACCGGGACCTCGTTGCCATGAACACCATTCTCGCGGCTCATGCAAGGGAGGGACGTGTCAACGAGTGCCAGTCCCTCTTCTCTGCCATGCCTCATCTCACCCTCGTCTCCTGGAACTCCCTGCTCTCGGCGTATGCCCAAACTGGGCATCTCGAAAGAGCAAGGAAAGTGTTTGCCTCCATGCCCGATAAGAACCAGGTCTCCTGGAACTCGATCCTTACGGCATTTTCAGAAGCAGGGAATCTGGGCGAAGCAAAGAGGATGTTTTTTACAGAAATGCCGAGCTGGGACCTCCTCTCGTGGACTGTGTTGCTCTCGGCTTATGCCCAGTCGGGGCATCACAAAGAAACCAGGGCTGTGTTCGACGCGATGCCGGAGAGAGATATTGTGTCGTGGAACGCCATGCTGTCGGCGTACGCCCACGGCGGGGGGAGCTTAGCCGACGCGGAGAGCTTCTATACAGAGGAGATGGAAGCCAGGAATCTGGTGTCGTCCAACGCGATGCTGGCGGCATTCATCAGGAAGCTCCAGATCCCACGGGCAAAGCAGTTCTTTGATTCGATGCCAGAGAGGAATCTCATCTCCTGGACGGCGCTCATGAACGGGTTCGCCGAGCACGGCGACGTGGAGAGCGCCGCCCGCCTGTTTGCGGAGATGCCGCAGCTCAGCGTCGTGTCTTGCAATGCGGTGCTGGCGGTACATGCCCAGGCGGGGCGCGTGCGGGAGGCGACAGATCTCTTCCATGCCATGCCCGAGAGGAATCTCATCTCGTGGACGGCAATGCTCGAACTGTCTGCGCGATCGGGAGACTTGGAGTCGGCCAAGGCTCTGTTTGACGGAATGCCGGAGCAGGACGCGGCGGCGTGCACAGTTCTGCTCACTGCCTACGCCAATGCTGGGCTGTTGGAGCAAGCCAGATCCATCCTGGGCGCCACCCAGTCGCGGGATGTCATCCTGTGGAACAGCATGCTGACGATCCTTGGCAATCTCAGGGCCGTGGACGAGGCACGAGACTTGTTCCACGAGATGAGCGAGCGAAACCCCGTGTCCTGGACTGCCATGCTTGCTGCCTACGCCCACAACGGGCACTGCGGCTGCGCCGCCAGAATGTTTGAGCAGATGCCCGCTAGGAGCCTGGTGGCGTGGAACTCGATCCTCTCCATGCTTGCAAACAACGGCCACTGGCGCCGTGCGGTGGAGATGTCTTACGAGATGATGGTGGCGGGATTGGAGGCGGACGAGGCCAGCATCGTGTGCATACTGATCGCGAGCATTCACAGCGGCGACGTGGAAGCCGGGAGGAGGCATTTCCAGTCGGCAAGCTTCGACCAGTCGGTAAGAACCAACAAGCAACACTACAGCTGCATGGTGCACCTGTTGAGCCGGGCCAAGCGTCTGGACGAGGCGCGCGAGCTCATCCACACCATGCCCTTCGCTCCCGATTCCCAGGACTGGATTTGCTTGCTTGCTGCCGTCGGCGGTGGCAAACGCAGGGAGGAGAATGGAGGCGAGGCAGTGCAATGCGCCCTTGAGCTGGAGCCGACGACTGGCGCGCCCTATGTGTTGCTTTCAGCCACAGCATAGGGGTTTAGGGTTCTTGGTCATGGCGCAGTGGCGGACTCTCGTGGATGCGGCCTTGGATTCACAAAGCTCCGGCCATGATCGGGTACGTGACACAGGACAAGACATTGATTCCTTGCTTCCCTTGCAGGCTGCCGCTCAGGATGCGCTTCTCTTGCTCCTGCAACAGAGAAATATCTCGATCAATGACATCGTAAGAGGAGGAGGTGCTTCTTCTTTGCTCTTCTGAGCTTGTTCTTTACCTTGTAGGTGCTGCATTTGGGCCCGTGCCTCACTTCAACGGATTTTCTGGTCCGATCCAAAGGTATCGTGTATCTATCCACCATGCCACACACACGAGGCAATGTTTTTTCTCTGTTTTGCTGCAGGCATGACTTTCTTGGGAGAAATGGTGGCGCGGCTCCATTCAACACGACTGGAAGAGCATGTTGTCCACTCTCTGGCTTTGTTCTTCACTGCACGGATCGTAAGGAACTCAAGCTAATCTTTCGTCTGGTATTCATTTGTTTGGAAATGCAGGAAGATAGTGCTTGCTTGCACGGTGCGCTTCTGGGATGCAATAGCCTTCACAAAAGAGCGAAGGATGTGGGTGAAGTCGCGGCACAAGATGCTGTCCAAGTGATTAAAACAGTGAAATGGCTTGATATGCAGTCTCTGGCTCAACAGGATAGACTGGTGTGCACATCCTTATTTTTTATTGCTGTGGAGCTACTTACATTTTTGTTTGACGCCAGCTATGTTTCGAGCTTTTGGTCACCCTCGTTGAGCGGCATCCTTCTGAAGTGGGAACTCTAGTAAGTAAATGCTGATATGTAAGTATGTAGCAACTATCCACTCATGTCTGTGTGTTTTTCTTGTACTAAAACATGCTGTTTTCATACTAGGGGACTGACCTCGTGACTGGAGCTGCTCAATTGATAGAAGGAGAAAAGGATCCTCGATGTTTGTTGCTGGCGTTTCGTTTGGTCGAGCGCTTGGGAAGTTTGTTTCCAGATCCGAAAGGCCCTCTCGCTCAAGCTGCACCTGATCTTTTTGATATCATCGCCTGCTATTTCCCTATATCGTTCAAGCTGGTATGTAATTTACTTCCTTTAAGTAACGTTCTCAAGCGGCCTTCCTGCAGCGGCCAAACGACAGCAAAGATATTTCACGAGAAGATCTTATTGCAAGTCTTAAGGTAGCACATACATCTATCTCATCGTCAACAAGTGCTGTGGTTTACAGAGTGCTTTTGCCGCTTCTTCATTTTTTGCTTCGGAGTGTATCCCTTTACTTCTTGAAAAGCTATCATCGTCAGTACAGGATTCTAAAGTACGTTTACGGTGTTTGATCTGCATCACAACCGACCCTCCTTGTTCTGCAGTTGCAATCCTTGGAGTTCCTTGGAGATTGTGCAGTTGCCTACGGTGAGCGTGTTATGGATGAGTATGCTCGTCCTATATGGGTCGCACTGAAAGCCGAGTTGTTTCCTCACTTGACCTCTTTCTACTCCGAGTCGGGAAAGCTACAAGATCCAGAAGTTTTCAGAGCGGCTACTATATGTTTGACGCAGTGTGTCAAGGCGTCTCTTAGCCATTCTGATCCCGATGGTGGCCAATTTCTTCGTTTGATACTGGACGACGAGATTTGTAGCCATCTTTTACAGTATCTCACGCGCAAGGCTACCATTGCAGATGCACAAGAGAAGCATCACATGCAGACTGTGGGACAGGTTCTTTCTGCTGCTGCGCGGGCATCACCTCTGTCTAGCAACATCATTTCTGCGACGATTTTACCAGCTTTTCTATCAAACAAGACTTGTTCCGATGCTCACGTTCTAGGTGTTGTCGTCTCAGTATTGACAGCTATACGAGAAGTTGCAGTGGAGCAGGTTTCTTTGCTATGTGACATCCAGTGGCTGGACCGAGTGTTTTCCTCACTGACAAAACTTCTGCTTATATTTTCGGACAACTTGAAATCAGCATCTATGAATGAAGCTATAACGGCAATTTGTGGTATGTCCTCTACCATGATTTCGTTTTAAGTTCTCATTGGTTGCTCTCTTGTCGCCAGTTTCTGGCTTGCAATGCGTAGCTACTTTTCCGGGTTACCTTTCCTCTTTGTCCGAGGCTCAAGTTTACGAGTTTGTTTCACATTTGCTAGAGCTTGTCCTTGACAAGGGGAAGTATGCCAATTCCTGGGATCAGGCGGTCCAGGCCGTTGCTTCCATATGCGCAACTGAAGATCAACTGTCATCTTCGACTGGTTCTGCATCAGTAAGAATTGTTCAAGGTCTTGTTCAGGCTGCTTTCCTGGAAGAGAGTGACGCCAAATCCTTGATGGCCGCCATCACCAGGATATCCAGGTCGAGCTGTTCCGCTCGTGATTTGTTCTTCAGCGAGCTCCAAAGACATCTATTGCCGTTGAATATTGAATCTGTAAGGATATACGTAGAAACGTTGCATGTTGGGCTGATGCTTGTTGTCAGGTCGCAGCCAAGCACCATCTCCTGATACCTCTATTTTCTGGAGAGTTTCTAGCGCTGTAAGATGAAGCGTTGTCTTCTGTCTTCGTTCCACTCCTTCCTAACTTGCGATTTCCAGATATGAAGATGATATCGAACGTGGACATGCACCTGCCCTACAATTTTCTATGCAACTATGGTCTTCTTTCCAGTCACTCCCTCTTGATATCGACATTCCTGAAGAGGTATCATGCTTTCGTTCAACTAGAAAAATTCTTTCTAACCGATTTTATATCTAGATATTAATCCCGTGGATGGACCTAGTTCGCACTGCAGTCTCGATGTGTGATCTCAGCGGTCAGGAAGCTGTCGTCCTTAAGTCATACGACATCCTGTGTAGCCGATGTTCGAAAGACCACGACACCATGGACGGTAAACAGGCATGGCTTATTGCCGTTTGGTCGTCAACGGCTGTAGCAATGAGGCCAAACATTCAGCTGTTGCAAGACGAGAAGATTATTCAGCTCCTGCTGAAGACGTCCTTGGAAGTTCAAAGCTCGGCGGTAAGCGAATACATCGCGCAAGCACTGGCATCGATATTGAATAAGTGGCCTACAACGTCATATCCGCTAGATGGTGTTGTCCAGAATGTTTTGGACGAGCTGCGTGCGTTTGGCACAGACACGCCTAGGTTGGTCAGCATCTTGGCTTGGATCGCAAAAGCGCTGGCAATGAGAGGTGACAACAAGGTGGCTTTGGTAGCAGGGATTCTCATTGAGATCCTGAGACAAGGGAAAGGAGCATTATATGCGGACGGAGACGGGGAAGACAGCATGATCAGGAGAGCTGCTGCGAAAGCCCTGGGCGTCATAGTGGGTGATGCCAAGGCGCTAAACAAACGTCATTTTGCAACCGTTCAGCCTCTGTACACCCAGAGGTTCTTTCACAGCTTCCTGCCGCCACTTCTCCACGCGCTGAGAGATGCTCCAGATAACGTTTCACGGTACTTGCGAGTTTAGCTGGTCTTTTTGCTACGAACTGACCATCTCGCCTTGTCCAGGGTCTGGTTGATTCGCGGTTTCAGCCATCTTATTGTGAACGTCCCGACAACTGCTGTGCTTATGGAAGGCAACAAGGTAATTTCCGTTATTGTTTTTCTCTTCATGCTCCAGTGAGACACATGTCCAGGTGTTTCCACTTCTTTTGGAAGCGCTCTCCAATGCCGAGGATTCTGACACGCTCCTGGGGAACCTTCTTATATTGTCTGCTTTTCTCATGGACGAGAAGAGCAAAGGTGGGACAGTACGCACTCTTGGAGTCTCCGGGATTGATTTATTTTTCGTTGCAGGTGCTGTGATAGATCGCATTGGACTTGTCATAAACTGCCTCGTGGAACTTGTACAGTATCAACACTCCACTGTGAGTCTGAGAGTTTGCCTCCAAAAGAAGTAATCGTTGTTGTGCTTTCTTTTCTCCAGGCTGTTCGTGAGACCGCTCTCCAGTGCCTCGGCGCCATTGTCAGCCTGCCATTCGCGTCAATCTATCCCTCGAGCCGGAAGGTAGGAAGTATCTCTTTTCGTCAGTGCTCATTACGTTGTGGAGCTGGGCTTTCCAGGTGTTGAAGACACTCCATCGAGCTCTTGATGATCCAAAGCGCTCCGTACGCAATGAAGCTGCTCACTGCTACCAGGCCTGGTGGATCAAATAAAAACCACACTGAACCGACAGATATCCGCGGGAATATCCCCGTTACGGTCGGGGTACGTGTTTGCACTGAGAAAGACTCGTGCTAGCAATATTGTTGGAGAAGAGACCCTTTTCGAGTTAAGAATGAGGAGCGAGCGTTTGTAGAGAGAGCTCTCCCTAGGTCAAGCAAGCAGCGATCATGTCCGTGACCAAGAGCCACAAGCTGGTGCTGGTGCTGGGCTCCGTCTACGCCAACGTGGTGGTGCAACTGGAGCGACTGCCTCTAGCTGGCGAGACGCTGGCCGCCAGGAGCAGCAGTTGCAGCGCCGGCGGGAGGGGAGTGAACCAGGCGGCGTGCGCCGCGCGCCTCTCCTGCCCGACCAACTTGATCGCCCAGGTGTGTGTGTTTTTTGAATGAAGGATCCATAGATTCATCTCCTCACGCCAGGTCGGGAACGATGGACATGCCGCATTGGTGCGCGAGGCGCTGGCGAGCGCGGGAGTGCGGGTGGACCACCTGAGCACGGTGAGCGTTGCGACGGGGCAGGCGGTGGTGATGATGCAGGGCGTTGGCAAGACGGTCATCGTGGTGGAGGGAGCCAACGTGTCGTGGCCCCGTCTCGACGGCGGATACGGGCGCCTCCAGCCGGCGGCGCAGCAAAACATCCGCGCCGCGGCGGTGCTGCTGCTCCAGCGAGAGATTCCCGACGCCGTCAACATCGAGGCCGCAAAGGTACTAAGAAAGCCATGTCATTGACTGCCAGGTTCGCGAAGCTAAAGCTGGCGATGCCAGATTGCAAAGACTGCCGGCGTTCCAGTGGTGCTGAGCACCGGCGGGAGCGAATCGCTGCTCCCCGCGGAGCTGCTCGAGTGTCTCACTGTGCTGAGCACGAGCGACGAGGAGCTGGCTCGGGCCGTGGCCTTGAAGGGCGACACCGAAGACGACGCCGTGGCTGCGGCCAGAAGATGCATTGCCGACATGGTAACTCCAAGTCTCTCTAGAGTGGTGGCTCATCGAGTGGTGTCTTTCTTCCGACAGGGCGTGAAGCAAGTGCTGCTCCAGCTGCGGAGCCAAGGACTGCTCCTGCTGGTGACGCAAGACGAAGAAACGGCTGTCGTTTCGGCTCCAACGTCGTCACTTGGCGATGACATCGCCACCGCAGCCTACGCGGTTGCGGCCTTCGTCGACGCCCAGCCACATCCGTCCGCCCTCAAGTTCGCAGGTTCGCTTGCTTGCTCTTCTGCTTTTCTCTCTGCTCAAGAGTGTCCGTCCTGCTTCGCTTCCAGCCTGCGCGGCGCTCCTGTGCAACCGGCCTGGCGGGATCGCAGCATTGCCGGACAGGAAGGCCGTGCTAGATCACCTTGTCCACCACTCGAAGGAGTGAGCTCCGAGAACTTGGGGATTGCGACGAGCAAAGTAGGTGTTTGTGCCCTTGTAGTGTACATATGCAAACGCGGAAATCGTTTTTTGGATTGCTCGTCTTGCGTGAAGCTTCCCGAGTCCCCCGCTGGAATATCCTTGTCGGACCGTGTCAAACCACAGCTACGGTCGTCGTTTCAAGACCAAGAAGTAACGACATGCAAAGTTTGAGCAACGTGACCGCGAGCACGATAGAGATAAATAGCTGCCCTTGCCATCTGGACAGCCTCACTTTGTTCCACGACCACCGCGAGCCACAGGGAGCGCGAGAGATTAGCGATGGAGGCTGTCCGGTTGCAAGGAGCTAGGGTTTTGCGGGATGCCCAGGGCGGCGACGCTAGAGCGCTGCTTGGATCGCGGAGCAGCAGTAGCAGCAGCAGCAGCAGCAGCACGAGTGGGCGCGTGAGGCTGCCGCTGCGCCGTTCCAAGTCGAGGCTGAGTGTGGTGGCGCTGGATGCTGCGCAGCCATTTGATTATGAGTCTAGGAGGATGGAGCAGATGCACAAGGAGAGCAAGCTCAAGGTCGGGATTGTGGGCTTTGGAAACTTTGGACAGTTCCTGGCGCAGCGGATCGTCAAGCAGGGCCACGCTGTGCTAGCGCATTCTCGCTCGGATTACTCGAGCTTGTGTGACGAAATGGGAGTTTTGTTCTTCAGGTATGGAATTTTCCCTTCTTGCATGTATCTGGCGATTCCATCGCATTCTTCGCTCTTGCTCGCAGGGACGTGGATGACTTTTGCGAGGAGCATCCCGACGTTGTGTTGTTGTCCACCTCCATCCTCTCGACTGAAGCCGTCTTGCGATCTCTGCCGCTTCAGCGCCTCAAGAGGAGCACCTTGTTCGTGGATGTTCTTTCCGTCAAGGAGTTCCCAAAGACACTATTCCAGCAGGTAATCTCTATACTGTTCATGGCCCGCGCATTGGTTTCTAAGCTCGAGATGCTTGCACCGCACAGGTCTTGCCAGCCGAGTTTGACATTTTGTGCACGCATCCCATGTTCGGGCCCGAGAGTGGCCGGGGGAGCTGGAATTCTTTGCCACTTGTGTACGATAAAGTGCGGGTTGGAAGTGGGGTGAGGGACGAACGCTGCCAGAGGTTTCTTGAGATTTTCGAGCGAGAGGTAACGTCACCTCGTACGACTGCTTCCTTTTTCCTGAACTTTTCCTTGTGCCACAGGGCTGCCGAATGGTAGAGATGTCGTGTGCAGAGCACGACCGCTTCGCTGCGAGCAGCCAGTTTATAACTCACACTGTTGGAAGGTTTGTTGCAGACTCTGCCACTTTTGCAAATTCGCTCACTCTCTTTCCAGGATGCTGGGAAAGCTGGAGCTGGAGTCGACTCCGATTAACACCAAAGGATACGAAACACTTCTGGACTTGGTAAGATTGCAATGCCTCCCCCACTCTTTTCTCATCAAGCGTGCTCTCACCTCAGGTCCAAAACACTCAAGGCGACAGTTTTGACCTGTACTATGGCTTGTTCATGTACAATATCAATGCCACTGAAGAGGTAGTATGGCTGAAAATCACGCAACTTCGTCATTGATCCCTTGTTTCTACAGCTTGAACGACTGGAGCTCGCGTTTGACGCTCTGAAGAAGCAATTGTTTGGCAAGCTCCACAATGTTCTGAGGAAGCAACTATTTGACGTAGGGAGTGCAGCAACCAACCATGCCGTGGCCGTCGCCTCCACCGCAGCAACTGTTGCTGCTTCTGACAAGACTAGCAATGGAGCGTGTGTTGCTGCTTCAGAAAAGATTAGCAATGGATCTGCGGTCTCACAACTTACGCTTGTAAGCACTGTGGAAGAGGCCCAAGGCCACCAGTAACTTTGCAACACATTTTATTGAGTAGCTGTGAATAAACATTTTTTGGTAGAAAAGGTACCTCGCTTGTTCCCGGCACGGAAAAACGCTACAAACAGGTAGAGATAGATGCTTTAAAACAGGTGATGGTGATGGTGCTTCTTCCCTTCAACTTCGTCCTCACGGCGTTCGGTCGTCTTTACGGCGTGGTGCTCATAGAGGGCATAGCCTCCAGATCCGAGAGCCGCGACCCCAGCAATTTCCTCTTCGATTTTGTGAGTGCGAGCGTGCTCTGGATCCACCTTCACCTCGTGTGCTTCATACTGTCCCCCAACACCAAGACGTTAAGAAAAAAATACATGAAATCCTTCACTGCAGCTTACCATTGCAAAGGCACCAGCTGCAAGAGCTGCGGCCTCTCCATAGTGTTCACGTTTCTTGCCAGCCTTCACCTCTTGCTCATAAGTCCCAAAAGCTCGCTGCTCCTCGAGCTGCTGCTCACGCTGCCGTTCCTCGTAGCTGGATTGAGGAAACTGGTGGCCGTAAGCCGCAGGTGGAGGATTCGCGTAAGGGGACTGCTCGTAAGACGACTGCTGATATGAGGACTGCTCGTAAGGCGACGGCTGGTAAGCAGGATTCCCATAAGCCGCTTGATAAGGAGAATTTACATCGTTGCCATAGGCTGCGTCCTGCTCCTGCTGGTGGTGGTGGTGGTGGTGGTGATGAGCCATGCCTGCTGCAAAAAGGAGGCGGCTTAAATCAGAATCGGAGCCTCCCAGAAACACGCTTACTTGCTACCAAAATTGCCAATCACGGCTATTGATAGGAGATGATCCGCGTGATGATTCCCACCGCCAGTGTCCGCCCTTCGCTCCGCAAAACAACTCGTCCAAGGCCACGAAACTTTATATACTCTTGAACACATAATCCCCGCTCCGGTGCCACCTGAACGCGATACAAAGTCAAACTTGCTGAAGCCATCGAGACTAAAAGGAGATATACCTCGACCAACGCGCTTTGGTTAGACGTCAAGCAACGTGGGGACCGCTTGACGGCTTGGCCAGTTTTTGCATCGATCAAAGCCGTTAGATTCGTGACAGTACCTGGCTCCTTTGCATGATGTGCATGCACAACCACCTGAAGAATACTGCGTCACATTCCAAACACCAAAATAGAAACAAACCTGGGCACCGGGAAGCATCGGGAACGCGAGTTTCAGTGTCAGGATTCTCAGTTCGAAACGCGTGGCAATCGGGACCGGGTAATCGGGATGGCATAGAACTCCCCCGGGGACTATCACACCGGCATCAACTCCCTGTAGACCAATATCCACGCCATCACCGGCTCTTGCTGTTTGCAGGGCTTTCCCGTCCTGCTCTAGATTTTTGACAACCCCCACCTCCCTTGAAGGCATTACCATTACCTGCAACCAAACAAAAACGTAGAAACCAAATAGATGACGTGATGATAAAAAGTGGAGGCCAACACACATACCTTGCTCCCAATTTTTATGGCTCCACTCTCGACTTTCCCACCCGCAGCAGCAGAACCAAGGGAACGTGATCTTACGACTTCAGCTACAGCCAGTCTGAAAGGCTTGGCGATGTCTCTCTCCGGAGGCTCAAGCCTGTTTAGAGCGTCAAGGAGCGTGCCGTCTTTGCCTGTGTACCTGGTCCATGGCAAACCAGTTAAAGATGATTCCAAATCATGAAACTAAGAAATGCTTACCACGCTCGAAACAAGTCATCACTCGGAGTTGAGACCAGGTTCTCTCCAGCGATTGCACTGACAGGAACGTAGGACACGCTCGAGTCCCGAAATCCACAATGTCGTAAAAACGGAGTAAGGATGCGCTTGATCTCTTCAAACCTCTCTTGCGAATACTGCACCTCATCCATCTTGTTCACAGCTACAACAAGCTGGCTGACTCCAAGGCTCCGAACTAATTGAGCATGCTCTCTTGTCTGGCCACTCTCGCGGCCTTCTGCTCCCATTCCAGCTTCAAAGCCACCTTCCGCGGCGTCAACAACAAGAACAGCAGCATCAGCTTGCGAAGCTCCAGAAATCATGTTAGGCACGAAGTCCTTGTGGCCGGGGGCGTCCAACAGTACGACACGTAGTTTAGCTGTCTCGAAGTGAGCCACGGCAACCGTTATAGTAACACCCCGTGCCCTCTCCTCGACGCCCTCGTCAAGCGCCCAAGCGTACGCAAAAGAACCTTTTCCCTGTGAAGTGAACACGTCATGACATAAAAGACTCAAAAATAAAAATGATACAAACCATCTCGTTAGCCTCCTTTGTGTTTTTGTGCATTTCCTTTTGAGAAACTCGTCCCAGGCTATGCAGGATTCTTCCCATCAATGTGGACTTGCCAGCATCAACATGTCCAACCTGCATGTTACTCGTTGATAAATCAAGACCATGAGGAACTACTTAAAGCTTACCACTACAAGGTTTAACAAGCTCTTCTCCGCAGTTTTTGATCCTTGGTGCATCATCCATGGCTCGGGCTTGTAGCTTTCCAGCGGCAACCCCTTGTTACTCGTAGACTGCAACCGTTGCTTTGAGCTTTCTTTGACGTCTTCGCTATCACCGTCAAGGACCAGGCTCTTTTTCAGCTTTTCGGATACGCCGTGCTCCTTGTCGCTCAGCTTGCTCTGGTTTCCAGGTGAATCCGAAGTAGGCGCTGCTGCTTTGGACTTTGCTCTTGCATGGCTGTTACCTGGAAGCAAAGAAAGAGAGTCAGTCAGCTAAGTAACATAAGATGGAGAGAAAAAAAAAAAAAGCTTTTCACCTTGCACGGGCTTTTTGCTTCCTTGTACTGCTCCGAGTATTGCATCATCTGGAGAAGGTCCGTCAAACTTGAAGGGCACTGTGCAAGGGCCACTTCAGCCCAAATAAGTTTTCAGCAACTAATCAAGCTCAAACAAGGCAGAGCTACCAAGCACCAGAGCTGACTCTATCGAAAGTGAGGCTGACTGACCTATCGGGGAGGAGCTAGAGGACACAAGGTCTCTGTCACTGCGTGACTGGAAAGTTTGCTTAATGCTCTCGGAAGTTATGCCTTTCTTGAGTGCCAGAGGAGGGAGAGGAGCAAACAAGGACGTTGCAAGCTGCGAAGGCTCAGCCCTTGGACGCGCACTTCTAACTGCATTGATGGATTCAATCGGGCTACTACGATCGTTTTGCTCAGCAAGTTTTAGAGTGATTTACCTGAGCCGGAAGCGTGAATTGGAGCTGGAGAGTCTCGCACCACTCCACACATCTCACACGACTGATGTTCCTCCAGATTATCGTATGTACAGATGGGGCAAGCCCAGATTGGTTGCTGCGGCGCTGTTCCTGGAAGAGATCTGGAGATAAATCCCGCGCTCGTCGATGAATCGCTTACCCGGAGCTGAGGCTGAGCTGCTGTCGGCGTAATCTTCCTCCTCGTAGTCATCGTAGTAGTCATCATAGCTGTCGTCGTAGTAGCTCTGCCGGCTCCCCTTGCGCGGCATTGCGATAAACCCTAAAAATGCCAAAGAACCCTAGATTCTGGGGAGCATGAATGACGAGGACGCGACGGTGATTGCGTGCTTGGATTCCGCGGATGCGATCCTCAGGCTTCGCGATGTGCTCAACACCCAACTCGCGCAGGCAAGTGAGTGCTACATCGTCTAGCAGCTCCTTCTACATCGCATTTTCTTCCAGGGGTGGATAGAGATGGCGCGTGCTCGCTACTCCATGGGGCATTCCAGGATCAACGAGTCGCTCTTCAGCCTGAGAGCGCACCGCTCGCTTGTGTGCGTTAGCGGTAAGCTCTGCTTTGCGCTGGATCGAAATCAAAGCTAGGGCGATTTCTTCACAGAAGGCGAGCTGGAGATCAAGCCAAGCGGCTCTGCGCAAGGTAAGTAGCTTCTTTCCTCGTCTCTTAACTGTGCCATTCTCTCGCATCCAGAAGAAGAAGAAGAAGACTCGAGTGACGATGAAGTGGTGGTACGAGACGATTGTTTCGCCTTGCGATGTTGTGGTGATCGTAGTTACATTCGCAGACGATGGACAGCAAGAGAGTGGATCCCCTGTGCTGGTTTGGCAGCCTCGTCTCGCCTCATTTGCGAGCTTCACAGCAATCCTTCCAGAAAGGTTCGTGCACAACACTAGATAGAGTGAGTAATCGCGATCGCTTTTTTTTTTCTTTTTTCCTCCAGCATTGCGGACACTGGTGGAAATCGCGAACGCTCAATGCGACGCACAGATCCAGTGCGGTAAGAACGGTTGCTTTCGGCATCGAATGTTCTTCAAATCAACACTCGCTCTCTTTCTTTCCGATTTTTTGTGTTCTTCCCAGACAAAGTATCGAGAGGGAGGGTCCAAGCCAGTAATTACTAATGACGACGATGTTGCTGGCTGGCCAAGGAAAACCAGGTCACGAAATCACGATCTACCCACGTCTGCCCTAGCCGGCACGTGTCGGTGGATCTCCAAAACGGCAGCTCTGTTTTGCGTAGGAGGACCTAATATATTTCCATGCTCTCTTTCTTTGCGCGTCTTTCTGGTCGCGGGCACGAGCTGGGATAGAGGAGGAGGACGGGGTCGTCTCCACATCGCCAAGGCACAGCCCTCGAGCGTGAGTGTGGTGGTGCGGTAGATCTGGTAGATCTGTGCGTGTGCGTGTGCGTGTGTGGGATCTCAGCCGATCTAAGCCAGGCCGCCAGGATGGTGAAGATCTGCTGCATTGGCGCCGGGTATGTGGGCGGGCCGACCATGGCGGTGATTGCCCTCAAGTGCCCCGAGATCGAGGTGGCGGTGGTGGACATCTCGCTGCAGCGGATTGCGCAGTGGAACAGCGAGAGCCTGCCAATCTTCGAGCCGGGGCTGGACGAGGTGGTGAAGGCGTGCCGCGGGAGGAACCTCTTCTTCAGCTCGGACGTGGAGAAGCACGTCGCGGAGGCGGACATCGTGTTCGTGTCCGTGAACACGCCCACCAAGACGCGCGGGCTGGGCGCGGGCAAGGCCGCGGATCTCACCTACTGGGAGAGCGCCGCGCGCATGATCGCCGACGTCTCCAGATCTGACAAGATCGTGGTGGAGAAGTCGACGGTGCCCGTCAAGACCGCCGAGGCCATCGAGAAGATCCTCACCCACAACAACAAGGGCATCAACTTCCAGATCCTGTCCAACCCCGAGTTCCTGGCCGAGGGCACCGCCATCGACGACCTGTTCAAGCCCGACCGCGTGCTCATCGGCGGCCGCGAGACCCCCGACGGCCAGCGCGCGGTGGCGTCGCTCAAGGCCGTCTACGCGCACTGGGTGCCCGAGGACCGCATCCTCACCACCAACCTGTGGTCCGCGGAGCTGTCCAAGCTCGCCGCCAACGCCTTCCTGGCGCAGCGCATCTCCTCCGTCAACGCCATGTCCGCGCTGTGCGAGGCCACCGGCGCGGACGTGTCCGAGGTGGCGTTCGCCATCGGCAAGGACTCGCGGATCGGCCCGCGCTTCCTCAACTCGAGCGTCGGCTTCGGCGGCTCGTGCTTCCAGAAGGACATCCTCAACCTCGTCTACATCTGCGAGTGCAACGGGCTGGCGGAGGTGGCCAGCTACTGGAAGCAGGTGGTGCACATCAACGACTACCAGAAGAACCGCTTCGTCAAGCGCGTCGTCTCCTCCATGTTCAACACGGTGTCGGGCAAGAAGATCGCGGTGCTGGGCTTCGCGTTCAAGAAGGACACGGGCGACACGCGCGAGACGCCCGCCATCGACGTCTGCAACGGCCTGCTGGGCGACAAGGCGCTGCTGAGCATCTACGACCCGCAGGTGTCGGAGGAGCAGATCCGCCGCGACCTGGCCATGAACAAGTTCGACTGGGATCACCCGCAGCACCTCCAGCCGCTGAGCCCCACCGCCTCCTCCAACAGCGTGCGCGTCGTGTGGGACGCGTACGAGGCCACCAAGGACGCGCACGGCATCTGCATCCTCACCGAGTGGGACGAGTTCCGCAAGCTCGACTTCCGCAAGATCTACGCCGCCATGCAGAAGCCCGCATTCGTCTTCGACGGCCGCAACATCGTCAACGTCGACGAGCTGCGCGACATCGGCTTCATCGTCTACTCCATTGGCAAGCCGCTCGACCCCTGGGTCAAGGATCTGCCAGCCTCCTCCTGATTGATTTTGTTGTCATCTGAGTAACCAACGCTTGCTCTCGCGGCTGGCTGGCTGGCCTCCTTCCTTCCTACTTGAAGAAGATTTTTTTGTTTCGCAGGGGCTTTAAAGAGCCACCATTTTTTTTCATGATCCATCTATCTAGGCACTAGGCAGTAAGTTATAATCAATAATCGAATCGTTCTTTTTGTTGGGCACTTCAACTTTTCTCTTCTTGTTTGTCACTCATTAAGTTTGCTTGTATTTTTTCTGGTCTATCTAGAAGAGACACGAACCACACAGCGAAAATAAAGGTAAGTATAAAAAAATGTCAGAATGTCTTTGCTACCACTTTTTTTTTCCAAGATCGAGTTCGATTTGGGCACTTTTCTTGTCACTAAAACATCAAGGTTGCTCGTATGTACACTCACTAGCTGGTTTTGAGCCTCTCGAAGAGGATCACGAACCACAAAACAAAAAAACAAGGAGACCAGAGAGTATACTAAGTAGAAAAGATTGTAAGAATTTCGTCGATATCTATCATGCCCGTCACGACCCGAACCGCGGCACCGCTACTGACGCAGACTTTCCACGATGTAGGACGCGTACAGATCCCTGAAACAAGCAGAGAATCACGGCTTTAGTCTAGTGTTTTCTACGCTAGCGAGTGAGAGTGTATCCCACTCAAGTCCCCACACTCACATGGAATGCTGGATCGCCTGCACGGCGTTTTCTGCTGGCAGGAAGTCGTTCACAGCCACGGTCTTGTTCTCGTTCTTCTTGTCTGACTCCCTCCAGTTAAAGAAAGCAGACAAAGAGAGAAAATTCCAACACGCTCACACAGCCGGCACAAAAGGATACAGTCCTCGAAGAACCTCCGGATCTCTGCCAGCCTGTGGGGTGGGAGATCCTTGATGTCTTGGTAGTGTGTGAACTCGGGATCGTCAGCGCACACGGCGATGATCTTATCGTCCTTCTCGCCCTGGAGCAGTCCACCAATTAATCTTCCATATGCATTCAGACAAGAGCAAGATGATTGTTACCTGATCAATCATCGGCATCAGTCCAATCGCTCTCGCTCGCAGAAAGCATCCAGGCAACACAGGCTCCTGAAACCCCCACCGTAGTAACTTCGTCTTACAAAAAGAACACTACCTGCATCAGGACCAAGACGTCCAATGGATCGTTGTCTTCGCACAGAGTACGAGGAATGAAGCCATAGTTGTGGGGGTACACGACCGACGAGTACAGCACCCTGTCAACCTGCGCAGTTTTAAAATAAGAAGTATCCAAAATGTTTGTTCTCCTCAATCAAACCTTGATGAGACCACTCTTCTTGTCCAGCTCGTATTTCACTTTGCCTCCTTTGCTGATCTCCACAACCTGCACACGAGGCCTCACTCACCATCAAGCTCAAGATCAATCGCGGAAAATGGGCAGCGACTTACACAGTTGAAGACGGCAGGTGCTCCGGGGCCTGAGGAAAAAACATTGTGTGTGAGCGGTTCCTTCCTGCATTTGAAAGAAGCAACAAAGACGCAAGCTTTACCGATTTCGAGATCGTGCCAGGGATGCGCCGCGACGGAGCGGCGGGAGAGCGACGAGAGGATGCGCTTGTTAAGCGGGCTTTTGGCAGAACCCGAGTTCGCGATCGGTCCATTGGGCGTCGACATCGCTCTGCTCGAACTAGAGCAAACAAAAAAAAAGTTAGGGAAGAGCGATGAAACCACACGTGCGATCCAAGATTCCAGACGACATCTCAGAGAATCCGCATTGCGCATTCTACCAAAACCTACGCTCACCAGATTCCAATCGAAATCGAGCCAAGGGGAGATCCTCAAGCGGTAGCGGCAGCGCCGCCTTTTTGGACTAGGTCGCCTGCTGCGAGATCACAGATCCACAGCGCTTTCTTCCGCTCAAAATGCGCACACGATCGATCGTCGCGCCCTCGTCTTCCTTTTCCCACTCAAGAACGAGCTGCCATAGCCCTGTAAAGAAAAAATGTAGGGTATATATACCAGCACCTAGGCGCATATTCGAACATACTGCCACGTCACTGGGAAATTTGCGAGAATTCAGCCATAACTTCGTGTGTGGTCCGGGTTGAAACGATCAGCCACTGCTTGCTGCCTTAGAATTTGTCCAAGTTTCCAGCCATGGTCTTTCAACTTTTAAGAAGAATCTCAGTAAAAAATTTACGGCCAAAACTTTGATTTGAGCACATTCATGTAAGTTTCTGGGTTTTTTCTTTTTTTTTCTTCAAACCCGAGAGCGACCGCTCAGTAAGAAACGTGCAATCTCCGGAGCTCTGCCTGGAACACGGAACTGGCGTTCAATGTTTTCTGCGCGAGATTTCTTATGTCCTCTCGTGAGCACTCTCTGGAGATCCGAACAAGCTCCCACAGTGCTCCGCCAGTAGCCAAGTCCCTGGCATTCACTTCTGCATTGGGAGGTAGAGCCTCTGGTGAGAGATCCGCCGCTAGAAAAGGAACAAAGAAACTTACCATGCTGTGCCAGATGACAAAGCGCGAGCTCGATGTGTCTACGAATAGGAGACGACTCGTTATTGGCATTCGCAACTATCCAGGGAAGCGCTCCATCTTCAATTAGCAGCGACCTCCCCACCCGATGACCTGCATTTATCGGCTGAGCAAAGCTACAAACTGGAAAGTAAAATTCTCACCGCTCTGAGAAACGGCACGAGATTCGCATTTTGCAAAGTTGGCTATCCCTCTAGCAACCTGGGCCAAAACGTCTGGATGCCTTGTTCTCACCATCCCGAGAAGGGCCTTAATACCACCTTCATCTCGCAGCTTCACTTGTAACGTTTCTGCAAAGGCGGACAGACATGATGACAGCTGATTTCAAAAGAATTAAGCGCATACCATTGCCGCATAAATTCGCAATGGCGCCAGCAACCATCCTTAGAGTTTGAGGATCCTCGGCTTCGTTCGCTGTTGTCGCTAGAAGCGTGATACCGCCTTGTCCCATTATAAGCTCTTGATTTTTTTCTGCCGTTTAAAGAGCCATGTTATTGATGCAATACGTGCAGGAAATGCTTACCATTCATAGCCAAATTGGCAATAGCACCAGCAGCTACGCGCCTGATAGTTTCGTCCTCGGAGTTGCCTAGCAGCACCAACAATGACTTGAGGCCTCCAGCTTCCACGATTTTCTCCTGGTTTGCTTCTGCAACCAAAGCACTATGTACTGGTTATCATACCATTGCAAATATTTCATAATGCTAGTTACCTTCGGCAGCAAGATTTGCAACGACCTTTACAGCGTGCACTCTAACGTCGGCATCTTCCGACTCCAACAAGGACAGGATCTTTTGCAGGCCAACTAAATGCTGCATGGTTAAAAATGTTCAAAACAGCATTGAATCGGCTTACCTTGTTCGAAAAGCTTTGCAATTGTAGCTCGCTGACCATTGATTGTGTCTCTTAGGATGTTTGGCCTATGCAAGTTCAAAGGACTATCAGATCCGAATGAACTCCTACCAGAGCCTCCTTTCTCAATTCTCTTGATCTGCATTGGCAATAACATAAACAATTTGAGATGATAACCCGACCTCATACCTCAGCATCTTCGTTACTTTGGGCTAGTTGATATCTCAAGTTCCTGATTTCCTCCTCCCGCTTCTTTCTCTGCTTGCTTTCTTCATCGAGTTTTTTCTTGAGATTCAAAATTTCCTCATTCTGCTTTTCCTTCAAAACCATCATATGAATTTGTTTTTTCACCAGCTCTAATCTAAAGGAAATCAAATGAGGACTGTACCTTGATGGCTTCAGTACTACCGGTCGAGTAGTTTTCCTTGTTCTGAAGCATCCTCAACTCAAGTTCCAAGTTCTCACGGGTAAGGCGTTCCTTATCAAGTCGCTCCTTCAGCTCAGTAAGCTGATCAGCAACACATTGCTCTGGCACCTGCATCAAGACAAATAAGCTTTCTGACTGACTTCCAAACCAGGAATCTACCTGTTTTGAGCTACTTCTAACAGCTGAGAGTTCCTCCTCAAGCTGCAGCCTTAGAGTTCGTTCTATTTGGAGCTGTTCTGATAGATTGAGGTTCTGACGTTTATAGTTGTCTGCCAAATTTGTGATTTCCTCCTCGTGTTTGATCCTTTCGGCGTGTATCTCCCTCTGAGGACGTTATCTCGATAGGAGTAAGAGAGCAGAAATATATTAATACCTCTTTTTGACTGTTTAAACCTGCTGCATTCTCCTCCAGCTTTTTTTCCAAAGATTTTATGTCATTAACATGATGCAATGCTTGCCTGCGTAATTCCTCAGTATCCTTTTGGTATCTTGATCGTTCCAAAGACATTTCCTAGAAAAAAGAAAAAACAAACGTGTTAACATAAACAAAAACGAGAAAGGAGACTTACCCCCAAGGCTGATGCAAGCTTACCCTCTGCCTCTGCAACGCGAGATCTCGCTTCATTAAGCTTGTCATGAAGCTCCTCTTCAGCATCAACAACAGCTTTCACGTGTCTTTCGTTCTCCACAATAAGCTTGTCCAAATCAGCTTCCAGTCGACGACACAAACTTTTATAGTCGAATTCTTCTTTCAGCTTCAGCATGTTTTCGACTTTCATAGCCTATAAACCGCGTGATCAACTTTGATGAGAAACTTGATGCAAAACACTTACCCGTTGACCGAACAAGATGGTACTGGCAGTTTCTCCGCGATGGCGGGGTGATGGTCCAATGGTTGTTATTAAAGACGTTCTTGCACTACCTAAGATTTGTTGCTGAAGTTTTACATAGGAAATGAGCTTTGTATGAAGTGTTACCTCCAAAGGAGTCCCTTAGCAGCCTTGTCAGCTTCGAATCCCTGGTAGGAACATGCGGGCTGTTCTCAGCGAGTGCGTTAATGCACTTACCAAGAGCTGTGAGAGAGAGATTAATGAACTTCGCCTCTTCTAAGGTGATCCCCTCGCTGCCTGTGGCAACATGTCAATCTCGATGCAGTTGGTTACAGGTCCGCTTACCAGATTTATCAACACGCTCTGATCCTGCCAAGTCAACTATAAGCAATTTGCTTCTCCGAATAACTGGTGCACGGCTATTCCGCGACCCGTTCTCATTCGAACTTTCCTTGGCTTTCACATGCTTTTTGATATACACCTGAACGTGCACCAACATGAAAAGAAAAACGAAAAACGAAATGAGAATGGAAATGAATGGAAGCAACGTAACACACTCACGAGGAGAACTGCGTGACTTCTCGAAGATTCTGTGTTAAGCTTGGTGTTTGCGGCAACTCTATTGGCTTCTCCGGTTTGTAAGAGTCCAATAAAGCTTTTGTAGTTCTTCAGCTGAATCAGTGTTGCTCCGGGTAAAGACACGTCTCCAGTTTTGGGGTCCTCAGCAATAGGGATGTTGTCCCTCTCAGGTGCAAGCAGATCTTGGATAGACTCCATGTAGAGCTGTTAACATCCCTCGAAAACAATTACTCTGCGTAGAGCTTGAAAACCAAAAACTCACCTGGAGATAGGAGACACAAACAGTATCATTTTCTGGATTGGTATCAGCCATGATATCTTCCAGCGCACGGACCATAATCCCCCTATCAGCACAGTCCTCCTCTCCTAGCTTGCCAAGAGTGTAAGTTTTTCCCGTGCCAGTTTGCCCGTAAGCCATCACTGTCCCATTGTACCCGTCTAATACACTCTGCGAAGAAGTGAAAATGTTACTTTAGAGCTCGTTTGTAGAAAGCTCGGACAGACCTCAACAACAGGTTTGGCGACAACTTCATACACTCTTTTTTGAGACGCTGTGTCCGGAAACACCTCATCGAATTGGTATGTCTCCGAATCCCAGTTGTTCTTGCGAAGCTTTAATCTCTTGAGCTGTGCATGACAGAGAATGCACGTTAGCAATGCCAGAGCCAGCAAAATCTCAATTCTTACCTCTGGCTGGAGCTCGACGCCGTCTGGAAAATCCGCATCCGCGACAAGCTCCTCGGCGTTCCTGGGCCGAAGCCTCACTGCCACTCTTACTCTTGCTGGATCGGCAAACATGTAACGATATCATACAAGGATCCTGGTCGCAAAACAACAAAAAGGCTCACTCACCTCCCCCATCGTTCTTCCCTGCGCTGCTTCTCCGCGGCGCCGAGAGAGACGCCGACCTAGGCCTGGAACTCATGCTCGTCGCGCTCGTCGTCGGCGCAGCAGCTGCAGCTGATTGGGCGCCACTCTTCATCGCTCATGGATCGCCCGAAATACCGCGCTGCGATCGAAATATCGCGATTCAGCGCATCCCCGCGCGAGATTCAACCTGCATTCTCTCGGAATCGCCAAGACCTAATCGTCCGTGACCAGGAGAGCGCGACGCGGCTGCCGCCGGCGGCATAGAGACGAAGCACAGGGCACGCAGAGGAAGAACTGTTTGACGGGGACGGCGTAAAGCCCAACGAGAGGGAAGAGAGAAAGATACCCCAAAATATGCCCTCCCTCCCCTCTTTTCTTTTGGTTTTCTTCGAGTGTGTCTTCTTTCTTCGGCGTCGTGCGTTCGTGGGTGGTGCGTGCGCTGACGTGGCTGCGGACGTGGACGTTACATGGCACGTCCACCCAGCACGTTGACATTTTTGTTAATAGAAACCAACACGAACGCACACCATTTGTTCGTTGATGCCCGCCGCTATTTCTTTTTCCCTTTCTCTCCCCAACGCTCGTTTCCATTCAAGCTCCTCCAGCGAGCTCCACGAGCTCCATCCATCCACAGCTTCTTTTAAGCGCGATCTTCCATCTCGATCGATCCATTTAGACATCCATCAATCTATTGAAGCATCGATCGAAGAAACTTTATTGTCTGGCTAGTGGCGATGATCACATTTCTATCACACCTCCACGAAGAACCAGTAGAAAAAAAGGACTAATCCTCCTAAAAGACCCGCGATCACGCAATCCGCCTATACACAAGGAACTCTTCCTGTTCTTCCGCCTCGTACACTGCCGATCAGTGAATCAATTGTGGAGAGGATTGGGTCCCGTGGGAACCGTTCTCTTGGAGGTTCCAAACATTGGAGGGCTGCAGAGGTGATCGGCGTCGCACGGGGAAGAAGATGATGCCGCTTGCTCCTGCAAAGTCGCGGTGACCTCCGTCGCGATGGATGGCTCTCTGGAATCAAGCCTCGGATCGCTGCTGCGGGGAATTCCGCAATCGGGAGCTGGACCATGTCGCGCCTGGACCAAAACCGGGGCTACAACAAGCATTGCCACCGTTGCCACCATCAAAATCTTCGCCATCGCCATAGTCATCGCTGCGGCTGCTCTGCTGCTGCTGCTGATCGAGAACTCGACACCGATCGATCGATCACCTGAGAATTCCTGATGCGCGAAGAACAAGGATCCCTTTCTCCAGCTAACGCTGCTTTGACTTTGCGTCTGGGGGTGTATTTTCTCTTTTTTATGTGAGACAGCTCGAGGACTTTGGCTTGGAACAAACAACACGCAAACAAAACAATGGTAGAGTCAAGGATCAAGGATCAAGGAATGGGCCAGGGAAAGAATTTTATCAAGAGAACGCGCAAATCAACCGAATTCTGGGAGATAGGCAATAGGTATTGCGTGCTTATATAAAGAGGATCATCCCCAGGAGGGACCGTCAGTTCACGAATCCATGTGTGTTAGTTTAAAACCCCACATTAGTTTGTTAACTACGCCACCTCCTCTCGTCGCCATCTCGCCGCCCCGGTTCGAATCTTCCCGGGTGTTTGTGGCAGACAGTGCGCAGCCGTAGCGTGAGCGAAAGGAAAGCGAAAACCCTAGAAAAGCCCTAATCGCAGGGGATGCTCTGTTCTAGGGCAAGGGCCCCACACGTGTTTAGAACCCTATACTACTCAGCAATGGAGGCGCTAGAGAGGTAAATTTCTTCCCGATCGATCGCTCGATCCATCCATTTCTTGATCGGCGATGTCCGCGGCGATTGGAGTGCCGCTGCTCGAGGCCATCTACTGCCTGGGGTGTACGCGCTGGGCGTACAAGCGATGCATCTACATCGGGGCAGACGATAGCAGCTCTTGGACGGCGGCGGAGGCGCACGAGCTGGAGCCGATCCCGCGTGTGTGCCAGCTCGTCCTGGCGGTGTACGAGAGGGATTTGCAGCACCCGAAGTGGGCGCCCCCCGGCGGCTACAAAATCTCGCTCGAGAATGTGGTGAAGAAGACGAGCGATCTGGAGAGGATTGTGCCACCGTATCTCATCTATGTGGATCACGAGCACAGGGACATCGTTCTGACGATTAGGGGGCTCAACCTCCGGCGGGAGAACGACTACTTGGTTCTTTGGGACAACAAGCTTGGCAGGCAGGAGTTTCTGGATGGCTATGTCCACCATGGATTGCTCAGAGCTGCGGTGTGGCTGCTCTACCAGGAGAAGGAAACGCTCAGGAACTGCATCACCAAGCACCCCACGTATACTTTGACGTTTGGAGGACACTCTTTGGGTTCCGGAGTGGCCGCGCTCATGGCTGTTCTAGCGATCCAATTCCCGTTTCTTCTCGCGGATATCCCTCGGAAACAGATTCGCTGCTACGCCATAGCTCCTGCCAGGTGCATGTCGCTCAACCTTGCTGTCAAGTACGCAGATGTCATCAACTCGATCATCTTGCAGGTGAGAGCTCGCTTTTTTATCGTTCTTTTCTCCACACCAGAGTGGTTCGTTTGTTTATGGCCTTCTGACTTCCACAGGACGACTTCCTTCCTCGGACGGCCACCCCTCTGGAAGATATCTTTAAGTCGATGTTTTGGTAAGCAAAGGATTGCTTTCGAGTGTTTGCGTGACCGATGGATTGGCTAGTCTTCCTTGTTTGCTAGGCTACAGATGCCTCAAGGACACCTGCATTTCGGAGGAGAAGCTGCTGCATGACCCCAGGCGGCTGTATGCACCCGGAAGAATGTATCACATCGTCGAGCGGAAGTTTTGTAGGTAACCATCCTTTCTCATGCCTTATTGAGTTTCTCTCGTCCTTTGCGGAAGCAGCTGCTGGAAGCATCCTCCGGTAGTCAAGTCCGGCATTCCCGTGGAAGGACGGTTCGAGCACATTGTTCTCTCGTGCAACGCAATCTCGGATCACTCCATTCTGGCGATCATGGAGGAGTCAGAGAAAGCTTTGCAGGTACTTAAGATCAAACTTGTATAACTTTGCGTAAAGATGGCTTTGCTGTGTAGATGCTGAGGGACAAAGACACCGAAACGAACACGCCACCAATCCAAAAGATGACAAGGCAGCAAACGCGAGCTAAAGAACAAGACCAAGAACACAAGGCAGCTCTCAGGAGAGCCGCGACGCTCGAGGTCCCATCAGCCGGCTACGAATCAGCAGACGAAACTCAAGCAAATGGAAACGGCGATTGTGGTGTTTGTCCCGACGATGAAGCAGCGGGCGAGGTTTGTCCACAACCAGAAGCCCCCTGCGAAGCTGGTCAGCTCAAGTTGAAGATCGAGTGGGACGAACTGCTAGACAAGTTGTTCCGGAAAGACGACGCTGGGAAGTTTGTGTGGAATAAATAAGAGGCCTCAGCAATGCATTTGTAAATGGGAAAGGTGGGGAATAAAAGCTCGTGAGGATCTTTCTGTATACGTGTCGTGAAAGAGCCCTACGTAGTGAAAAAGTAGGCTATGGCGCTCGAATGCTCCGTGTTCGCTTCTCACTCCTCCATGAAGTCCGGCTTGCGCTCCCTGGCTGTGCGATCCTCTCACACCGCGGTCTCGACGACAGCGTCGCAGACTTCGCACACAGCGATTCGGACGCCACACAGCGGGTAAGTCCCACATTTTTGCTCGCTCTTTGCTCGATCAAAAGCTCTCCTCCAGGTACCATTTCGATGGATCCAGCCGGCGCTTCATGGAGGGATGGTACTTCAAGGTCGCACTTCCTGACGAGAAGCAAAGCTTTGCATGGATGTATTCCATTGAGGATCCTGCATTCTCGGAAAGCCCGAGTGGGATCAAGGAACTCGTCAAGGGGCCGAGGTTTCCCGGCATGGGAGCTCAAGTTCTTGGACCGAACGACGAGTATTTGTTTCAGTTCCAAGACACTACTAGAAAGTTCTGGGCAAGTAAGTTTGGAAACTTCGCTTAGTTCCAGCGCTCACAGGATTTTACCAGGTCGAACCGAGCTGGCTTTGGGTGGTACGTTCGCGTCTAAGAAAGGGAGCTCGCCACCAAGATCACTGCTCCCATCCCAAGTAAAGCGTTTGCAAGTTTGGTCGTAAGTACTGAAACCAAAAAACTTTCGACCGTCTGCGATGTCGGGCAGGAGTTTGATTCACGCGTAGAAGAAGGATTTCAAGTGGACGCATTCTGGCACCAAGGATTTCTCCGTGACAATGGGAGGTTCGTTTGAACTTGACTCCTTCGCTTCGTTTTTTTTCCTGTGACTTAATTCTTTCGCCAGGTCGCCAAAGCTAAACACCGTGGACAGTGTGAGATGGGAGTATAGCACACGGCCATTGTACGGCTGGGGAAACTCTGGTTCTGGACAAAAAGCAACAGCGGGGTGGCTGGCTGCTTTTCCGGTTTTCGAGCCCCACTGGCAAATCTGCATGGCGCACGGACTTTCAACAGGTTGCCATTCTTGAGTTTTTGTTGTTTGATCTTGACGGTGTCAGCTATATCTTCTTATAGGCTGGATACAGTGGGGCGAGAAACGCTACGAGTTCGAGGACGTTCCTTCGTACGTTGAAAAAAACTGGGGCGGAACTTTCCCGGAGAAATGGTTCTGGGTGAGATATTTAGATTGACTTCCAGCATGCTACAATGTTTGCGTGATTTTCGACCAGGTCCAATGCAATGTTTTCCAAGGCTCTTCCGGAGACGTAGCACTGACTTCCGGAGGAGGAAAGCGCGGTCTACCATTTCCTCCTGGAAGCTTTGAAGAAGTCGCCATGGTTGTAGCTGTTTTCCTAATGACCAGCTGACGAATATACACTTGTTTCGCTGCTCAGGTAGGTGTGCACCACGCTGGAAAATTCTACGAGTTCGTTCCATGGGCAGGCGAAGTGGAATGGGAGATAACTCCTTGGGGCAGCTGGAAGATCGCAGCAAGCACCATAGAATATGAGGTTGGCCTGCTAAACCGGTTCGATCGCGGAGTTAACTTTCGTGTCCTTTTTCTCCACCTAGGTGTTGCTAGAAGCAACAACAGATACACCAGGGACAGTGCTCCGTGCTCCAACTAGAGATGGTCTGGTTCCAATTTGTCAGGACACTTTTGATGGAAAGCTGAAGCTTCAGATCTGGGAACGCAGTGTCAACGGCGTCAGAGGAAAGGTGTGTTTCTCTGTGTGTGTTTTCTTTTCTTTCTTTCTGTAATCCACGGAACTTACATTATTTTCTGGCAGCTGGTGTTGGATGTCACGAGTGAAATGGCAGCACTCGAGGTTGGCGGCGGACCGTGGTACACAACCTGGAAGAAAAAGAGTAGAATGGCGGAACCGCTGAGATCCTTGGTAGGCTTGCAGCTGGACCTGGAGAGCGTTTTCTCAAGCGTTCCCGCACTAAAACCACCCGGACTGTGAAACCAATCTTGTCGATGAAAAGAAAACAAACACACAGGTCTGATCAAATTCACATTTTTACGAGTTACAGAGCGAGGGCCGACACAGGATTTGCATGCAGGGCTCAATCAAACGCGTGGCGGAATCCGGATGCTATTTCAGCTGGTCCGGACGAGAGCGCAGACAAAGAGAAACGCAGAAGCAGGATCATGGGCGCCTCGCAGTCTCAGCAGCTAGAGCAGCAGCCGAGCGGCGGCGTGGTCTTTCCCGGCGAAGAAGAAGAGAGGGGCTTCTATGGACAGCCAGCTTCGACCATGGAACCGGCACCGCCACCTCCAGCCAGCAGCTACACCCTCTTCATGAACGCCTTGACAGCCTTCGTGCCGGAGGAGCACGTAGGCCGGCTGGTGATGTACATGGCAATCTTCGGTGTCCTCTTCGCGGTGATCGGCTTGATCGGCCTCGTCTTCCCGTTCGTTTTCGCTATAGCGGTGGAGCAAGTGATGGGAGCTGTGATGGTGCTGGGTGGGATCTTCTCCGCGGTGCAATTCGGGGTCATGTACGACATACCCGGGAACAGCTCGTTTCTTCTCATGGGATTCCTGCATTTGGGATTCGGGCTGTGGATGCTGCTCCAACCGGTTGAAGCCGGAGTCATGCTCATGTTCGTGCTCTCTGGATGGCTCCTGGGACATGTAAGTTATCTTCTTTGTATTGATCAACTTTGCTTGTGTGTTTTCTTGTTTTCAGGGGCTGCTCAAGACCTTCATGGCTTGTCAAGTTCGTAACTTGTCGTCGTGGCCGTTTGTGTTCGTGAGTGGAATTCTTTCGATACTGCTGGCGCTGCTTATCCTCGTCCTGGCTCCCAAGTACGGTGTGGTTCTTTTGGGAATTACTTTTGGCGCAGACATGTTTGTCTCGGGGCTGTCGATGATTTTAATTGCCGCAACCACTTACTTCTGTAAGTAGTCTGACCATGATCCATTTGTTTTTTTAGTGTCCGATTCTAACTTTCTAACCTTTTTTTTTTGGTTCTTCCAGCCCGGAGAAGTCGTCCTCGGATCGACACTGAGCCTCTGCTTCCACCTGCGACAGCTCCTCCTGCGTAGCTACGTGTTTCTATTCCTTTTTTTTTTGTGATGTGATCCTTTGAATACAATTCCGTTATCATTTCAGGAAGAAAGAATACATGGGACGGTGCCGACTCTAGAATCGGTGCTCGAGTTCTCTCGCCATTTGAAAACCTCGATCGAGCGCAGGGCTTGCTCTTGGAGATAAGGATGCTCGGAACTGGAGCTGCCAATGAACTGATCGCCAGCATCCTCGACAAGCATGTGTTGCTCCTTTTGGCGAACGGAATTTCCTGAGATCAAGCTCTCTCTGAAAAGAACAATAACGAGGACGAACACCATGAACTGGATTGTTCCTCCTCCTCCGGAAGATGCCATGCGATGCGAAGAAAAGGAGTGAGGCTCTGCCCTTTTCAATTCGGGTTCGAAAAGGAATATAACCCTCGCAGATGCTCGCACATTCCGAACGGCAGATTCCGAGATACCATCACAGTAACCACACTCTTCTCTGTACGTACGTGACTACGATTGATATTTGTTGCATGTCGACAAGAAAATCCGCTCAAAACTTTCGGCCCGCAAGTTGATGATGATTTTATATGCAGCTTCCAGCCCACAAGTTGATGATTTAATATGTGCAAGAAATTTCTCGCCGCAAGCAAGGAACCTACAAAGGTGGCGTAACGATTTTCATTTCTAACCCAGCTCCGATGGAGCCTTCGCCACGATGGAGAGCGCGTGGAGCCCGCTCTTGAGCTCGTCCTCCAAGAGCTGATACACCCGCCTGTGCCGCTTCACCACGCTCTGGCCTTCAAACTCTGCCGCCACCACCTTGACGTTGAAGTGCGTCTCGCCGCCGGTGGTTCCACGAACAGCAGCGTGCCCGGCATGCTGGTGAGACACATCCTCCACTTCCAACACCGTCGGCGCTAGCGCTTCCTGGAGCTTCTTCTCAATCGCCACGGACCGTGAGGTAGCTGGCGGCGAGCTCTCGGCTATCGTGGATGGTGATCGCGTAGCAGCAGAAGCAGCAGGAGCAGCAGGCGTAGCAGCGCTCCTAGCATCATCACTCTCCTTGGGCGACGCTAAGACGGCGGCGGTGGCCGGAGAGGAACCGGCCGACGAATCCATCTCCATCTCCAAGGCCTTCTTCTGCATCAATCTAAACATGTTGTAGAAGCCGCTGGTGCGAGCGGGCGTGAGGCTCTGCTTGAGGCCGAGCATGTGGAAGAAGGCCGGAGTCAAGCGGACGATCTCTCGGGGCCTGGATCCCGACAACCCTTCGACGAGGAGCGCCGCCAAGCCCTTGGTGAGGATGGAGTCGGAGTCGGCCTCGTAGAACACCTTGCCGTGGTCACCGAGGTAGGCTCGCACCCAGACGCGGGAGACGCAGCCCACCACCTTGTTGGCGTCCGTGCGGTGCTCGTCCGGCAGCGGTGGAAGCCTCTTGGCGTAGTGCATCAACTGCTCGTACGCTGCGCGTTGGTCCCGCACCGCTGCAAACAGGCTCACAATCTCACGCAGCTTATCGGGGAGTACCTCCTCTTCTAATTGCTCTCCAGCTGCTGCTGCTGCTGTGCAATTCACTCGAAATACCTTTGCCGATCTGGAGCTGGCAGCAATCGCGCTCAAGCTCACGCCCCCTAGCGGCGATGGCGCCGCCGAGACTCGCAAGAGCGCCGCCCTCTTGCCTGGCGCCGGCCAATCCCCTACGCACAACCAGGAACCCTGAAAATGTCTAGCAGCCTCCATTCTCTCCCCTAGAAACCCTAATTCGAATCTTAGAGGAATCTCTAGAGTACCTTTGTCAGCGTTTCTTTTGCATCAATCAACGTTTTCTATCCTCTAATTCGTCTGTCTAAGTTTGGAAAAAAATTTCTTGATGAACTTCAATCATCTGGCAGGTTGTAGAGAAAATGTGAATGGCACGGGCTGTTTGGATCCCCAGAAGCTGGGAATTCCAAGACTCGGATCCAGCAAGTCCGAGTCCTTGTTCACGAGAGCCAGATCCCTCCTCCCAGACGGCTCAAACCCCCTGTACGGCCCCCTGTATCCATCCACGAGGTGCAAGAGCCCCTCCAAATTGTGCCATCCCGCCAGGTTCGCGCCACGCCTCAGGTACGGTGACACGCCACAGTCGAGCGCCACCTCCGTGCCGACGTGCGAATATGCCCAGGGAATCATCTCCCCGATGGCGCCACTCATCCACTGGTGCTGCTCGTTGACAAAGATCCCGGGGACCTTTGGGACGATGTCCCGCGTGTTGACGACGCGCAGGACCTTGAGATCGAGCTCCCGGCACCGCGCGGCGAAGCAGCGATTGCCCACCCGCGGTGCGGAGAAGGAGACGACGGTGGCGGGGATCTGGGTCTTATCCCCGGCGATGCCAAGCTCCGCGAGATCATAGGCGCTGAGCAGCGCCAGCGCGCCGCCGAGGCTGTGGCCAGTGACCGTGACGCTCACCGCCTCGCCGTCGGCCTGGAACTGGGCGATCAGGCGGCGGAGCTCGCAGATGAGCTGCTGCCGCGCGCTCAACTTGTTGTATCGGCTCCGGGACTTGCTGGCCGTGTAGATGTCGAGGAAGCCACTCTCCACCTTGACGCCCGCCGTGGATCTGTCCCGCGGATCCAAACCCACTGGCATGAGATAGTCCTGGAGATTCTCCAGCCACTCCACGCCAGTCACGGTTCCTCGCCACGCGATCACGATGTGCCGCCGGCCAATCTCGGCAGTCAAAGACGGACGACTCACGGCCACGAAGCCCATCCAATTGGAATCTCGGCTCCATGGCTCTCCTTGCTCCTCGTCTCTAGCTCTTGGCCTGGGAAAGATTCTCGGCAGCTCTAGATCCGTGGTGGCGTACAGATATTTGGTGATCTCGTACTCTTGGTCCCGCGCGGCTACAGTCTTTCCCAGGAGCTCGCTGGGACTGTAGCGGCAATTTCCACGCCTGCGCGAGTGGTCGTCGTTGTCGAATCCATCGTAGCAGGCTTGAGACAGATCGCCGTACTTGAGAATCTCGCGCCGTAGCTCCTCGTCTATGAAATCGCTGCATGGCCCTGCGGCGTCGCCATCCTGGTAGCTATCCACGGCTTTGCGGGGTGACGGGAGCAGCAATCCCAGCCAATTGTCAGCTCCTTGCAGCTCTCGCCACTTACTCCACAGGCGACCACTAGGTGGTCTGAGCGCTCGCTTTGCGTGAATCTTCGATGCGAATTGGAAAGATTTGTGGGTCGATAGTGCCAGACAGGTGGAATCCTTCACATCTAAACACTGTGGATGTGAAGGCGGGCCAATGATCTTAGCGCTGCTGGGAGCTGCGGCCATGGCGGCCATTGTGATAAGAAATTCCAGTCTCATCGATCCCTATTATAGTCAAGTCAGCCGCGTGTTTGACCTTCCTTTTACTTTGAATTTTAAACTTTCAAACTGAAACGCTCGAGCTCATCCTGTCACTCTTCAACATTGACAAATTCTTTCTGTACGCAAATCCATTCATTATTGTATTCACAACTTGTACAGGCTCCGAAATATGCTGTTTGTCACTAAACATTGTTCTTTACGCAATGCAATTATTGTGCCAACCTTCGCTACTCTCTTTCCGTAGCACAGTCCCTCAGTGACGTCGATGATATTTGCAACAATCTTCGTCGTCTCCATCGTGGGGTTCCCTGTGAGGCTGCACCCATCTTCCAGATAAATCCTTTACCAGACCCTTGTGCATCTCTTGCCACCAAAAACCCGGGATACCCATTTCCTCGATCAAGAAATCGGCAGCCTTGTTCACCAGCGCTGGATCCCTCTGCGTCATTGAAGAAAACGGCTTGTCTGGGCCGTGATACCCATCTAAGAGATGCAAGTGGGCTTCCAAGTTGTGATGCCAGGACGGATTCATCGTGGGCTGGAGCAATGGCGAGTGCGTGCTGCAAACCTGGAGCTGCTGGCCGACGTGAGAATAGGTCCATGGGAGCTTGTCGATCACCGCCCGGATGAATGCGAAGCTGTTCTCGTTGAAGAAGATCCCCGGAGTTTTGGGGACCAAGTCCTTCTCGTTGACAACGCGAAGGACTTTGATACCGAGCGAGTCGCATCGATCACGGAACGCATCGTTCCCGACCCGGGGGGCGGCAAAGGAGAAGACAGCGACGGGGATGTTGTTGGTCGGATCGTCGTCGATGTTGTGAGGCCGGGGGAGGCTCTCGAAGATGGGATCCATAGTTCCGGTTGGAGCTCCCTGCTGCTCGCAGTAGCTCCCGGACACGACGCTCGTGAGGGGCTCGTCCATGCCTGACTCAGCGATATCGTAGGCGCTGAGGAGCGCCAGGGCTCCGCCGAGGCTGTGCCCAGTCACCGTGATGCTCAGCTGCTCGCCCTTGTAGAGACCAACAAGGCGATGGATCTCCCACAGCAGCTGCTCGCGGGCACTCCGATTCTTCTTCTTCTTGGCACTCTTCTTCTTGGACGTGTACAAGTGGAGGAAGCCATTCTCCACCTTGACACCGTCGAGGAACGAGCACTTGTTCTTGTCCCAGTGTCGCTGATCCAGCCCCGCGGGTGTGAGGAAGTCCTTGAAGTTCTCGGACCACTCGATCGAGGTGACGGTCCCCCGCCAGGCAACGACGATGTCTCGCCTCCCTAGCCTTGCGATCTCCTTCTCGCAGGTAGCCACGGCGACGTAGCCGATCCAGTTGGAGTCCCGGTTGGGAGAGTCCGAGGCCTCGGAGCTTTTGAAGAAGAACGGGATCTCCGGGTCCGCGGTGGCGTAGAGAAACTTGGTCACTTCGTAACCTCGGCCCGGTAGATCCACTCGGTCAAAGAGCTCTTTCTTGCAATACTTACAGCTTCCGCAGTACTTGGACCGAGTGTTCATGTCGAAGGCGTCATAGCAAGCTTGAGCAAACTCGCCGTAGCGGATGATCTCGGCTCGCAGGCATGGATCGATAGGATGCTCCAGCAGGCCCTCCCAGTGGTAAGCCCCTTGAATTTCTCTCCATCTCTGGCTCAGCTCTGACTTCTTTTCCTCGGCTGGGGGATGAAGCTCCTCCGCTGGTGGTGCCGGAAGAGTTTTGATGGGCGAGACTTTGTATGCCTGCTCTAGCTCCTTGACCAGAACTTTCTCCACGGAGACATCTACTTTGCTGCCAATTACAAGCGAAACATCCTCGTTGTTCTTGTTTGGAGCGAATCTTACCGCACTTGCAACAACCAAGGATGGCCTTGCAGGCTTGAAGCTGCTCTTCGGGAAGCACGAAGTGTAATTTCTAAGCTGAGTGGAAGCCATGAGATTCACTTCAAAAGCATGCAAACAAAGTCCTTCCAAGATTTTTCAGCAGAGACAAACTAGGAGCTCCTTCTACTTCGATGGTTCCTCACAGGAGCTGCGAGCCCTCTTTTGAAGTACCTCTTTTACCACCCTATGAGTCGTACCGGTACTGTGCTAAAGTGGTCCGTATTGTCTGATGTGTCCAGCACTAAACAATATGTGGCGCTCTATGGAGCACGTTTCCGCTTGGATCCAACCATGAAGCCAAGAAGCCAAGCACCTCCATTCCGACATAGCCATCCACATTGAAAACGTTTGGAATTCAATATTGCTTGGTTTCATAGTCAAAGCAAAGCTCAATACCTTGATAGGTACCTTGATAGATATGAGCGTCGAGCGGGAAGAACTCGCAGCGCTCTTGCGCACTTGCGGCATTGCCAGGGATCTTGGGCAGGCCAGGCGGCACCACGTGAGGATTCTGTCGAGCAGCAGCCATCGCAGCGATAGATTTCTCTTGAATTTGGCGGTGCAAATGTATGGGAGGTGCGGTGATCTCCAGAGCGCGAAGGAGGTTTTCAATTCCATTGCGCAGCCCAATGCCTTCTCCTGGAACATCATGATCTCCGCTTGTGCTCAGAATGGCCGTGCTGAGGACGCGATGCTCGCGTTCCAGAAGAATCCTCACAAAAACCAAGTTTCCTGGAATGCATTGATCACGGCGTTTGCCGAGAACAGCAATCTCCACGCAGCAAGAGAGATTTTTGAGAGGATACCTGAGCTCAGGAGCGTTCTCTCTTGGAACATCATGATCTCTGCCTACGCACGGTGCGGACAATTCTTCCAAGCGAAGGACTTGTTTGATAGAATGGAGATCCGAGACACTGTTTCCTGGAACATCATGATCCAAGCTTACAGTAACTTTGGAGATCTTTCCGGGGCAGAGCAATTGTTTCGATCAATGCCAGATCGCGACACTGGATCTTGGAATTCCATACTTACAGCATATGCAATTTCTGGACATTTGGAAAAGGCCAAGCAAACGTTTGATAGAACACCTGAGAGGGATCTAATTACCTGGAACACAATGATAGCGGCTTTTCTTCGATACAATGACATGGACAACGCTATTACCATGTTTCAAAGGATGCCACGGTTGGACCTGGTGACGTGGAATGCCATGGTACAAGCGTTTACACGCAATGGGCATCTAGAAAGTGCTAAAAGAATCTTCAACACAATGCTGGAAAGGGATATAGTTTCCTGGAATCTTATTCTCCAGCTTTATTCTCAAACATTAAAGATATCTAAAACACGTCAGTGGTTTGATTCCATGCCCGAGCACAACACAGCATCTCTCACGATTATGCTTACAGCATATGCCGCTGACGGGCATCTACGTCAAGCACGAAATGTCTTTGACTGCATGCCAGCTCGGCGATTAGTAACATGGAATGCCATGATGGCAGCTTACGTGAACTCAAAAGATCAAGCCAGTTCACTCGATTTGTTTCTAGAAATGCCTCAACGGGATATTGCTTCATGGAATGTGGCTCTTCAAGGATTTGCCCAGGCAAGGCATCTGGAACATGCTTTTGGCATTTTTCACGAGATGCCCGAGTGGGACATAGTATCGTGGACTGCATTGCTAGGAGCTTATGCACTCGCAGCTATGGTGGAAGAGGCCACGGCGGTGTTTGATCAGATGCCGGAGCACGATTCAATCTCATGGAGCGCAATGGTGGGTGCCTATGCGTCAAGTGGAATGATCGCCCATGCCAAGAGATTGCATGATTTGATGCTCGATCGGAGCTTGGCATCCTGGAATGCAATGCTTGCTGCTTATGCACAAACAGGGGCTCTCTTAGAATCGAGGCGATTCTTTGATTCTATGCCAGAATTAGATGAAATATCGTGGAATTCAATGCTGGCAGCATTCGTCTATGCGGGTAATGGTGGATGCGCTTTGGAATTTTTGCAGGAGATGGCTGTGAATGCCGTGAGTGCCAATGGGAAGACATTTGCGATGGTGCTGTGCGTGTGCGATCACATTGGGCTGCTTAAAAGAGGGCGGAGGGAATTCAGCAGAATGCTTTTCGACTATGCAATTCATCCCAATATTGAGCATTTTGGATCTATGGCAGATATTTTAGGGAGGAGTGGTATGTTAAGTGATGCTAAAGAGCTTGTTTACACAATGCCTTATCAACCAGACATTGTTTCATGGGGGTCATTACTTGGAACCTGTAAAATATTGTAAATGGTTCTATATTGAACAGTTTTGAAGATACTGATGATTATAGTTGGAAGGCACAAAATATTTCTTAACTCCTTTCTTGAGAAAATTATTTCTATTTACATTCATTGGGGATGCTTATATAGTATAATTAGAGTGGGAATTTCCTAGCATTTTTTTCTTTTTGCTCTTTTTTAACTGACTTTGATGTAAACTTGTGAAAGTTGAAATTCCATAATCTAAAGGTCTGTAAATTACATATATATTTATGCATATCAAGGTAAATATGCTAATTATAGTAGTGTTACACATGGATGGACATGTCAACTGAGACTGAATTTTGTCCATCAGCAGGGACTAATAAATAAAATTATTTATCTCTCTATATTTATTAATTCTATCTATAAGATTTATCCAAAGATTTTGTCTATATTTTAAAATCTCAATAGCTACCTGATGATGCTATGCTTCAATGGCAGCATTAGATATGTCTATCCAAAGCTGAATATTCCTTGAGATCAATATCAAACTAATTGAACTGGTTCACTGTTAAAATATTATTGAGGGGAAAAAATAGATAAAATATTATCAAGCTGTTTAAGAGAGTTTTAAAAGGAGGAGTTGACTAGCTTTTTATATAAACTTATGTCATGCCAATTTTTTTTTTTAGTACTAAAAACAATTTACTGATCTGGTTAAAAAGGATTTTGATATTTGGTACTTACATATAGCTAAATTAATAAACATTCACAACAAAAACTAATTGATCATTTATAATTTTATACACAACCTTCTTTCCTTTTGTCACATTATTTAGTTTGTGCAATTGAATCACTACCCTTGACATGGTGAAGGTCTAGGAGACAATTGCTTTGGGCTTTCACCTTTGGACTCGAAATCAAATTCAGACTTAAACTCGGTCTCAAACTTAGTCTTGGTTTTGGTCTCAAATTCGGTTTCAAACTCAAACTCGGTCTCGGACTCAGTCTTAATATTGGATGTGGTCTTAGTCTTGGACTCGGTTTCAATTTCAATTTTGGTCTCTTTCCCAGCTTTGACCTCAAACTCCATCTTAAGTCCATTTTAGATTCGACCTCGAACTCCATCTTGGAGTCCATCTTGGGTTAATCTCGAACTCTATCTCAGATTGCATCTTGAGTCTATCTTAGACTCTATCTCGAAATCCACCTTGGGTCGATCTCGAACTCTATCTCAGACTGCATCTTGAGTCCATTTTAGATTGCATTTCGGGTCAATCTTGAACTCCATATCAGATTATCTCAAGTCTATATTAAACTCCATCTCGGACTTTTTCTCGGACTCATTCTTGACATTTCCATATGTCACAACACTTGCCACGTGTTAGTCCTTGTGTCCCTTTTTAGAGACTCATTCACCAATTACTTTATGCTTATCCTTCGAACATTTCATTTGGAGTTCCACTCCTATTCTCAACTTTCTAAGTTAGAGTTTTTGGTCCAAACATATTATGTTTATTGGATTTCACTACCATGTGGCACCCTTTTCTGCTCCACTTTGGGGATTAGGGATTTGTGTCTCACATAAAAATTACAACACTAAACACCATTAAATTTTGTTGACAATATATATATAAACTTATACCTTTTTCTTTTTGACCAACCTCAAAACTAATCTAACACCAAGTCTAACACCAAGTTACTTAAAGAGAAATAACAAAGTTTCTTGGAAAAAAATTGATCATTATAACCTAAGCCTTCCAATAGTAACCTACACAAAATATTTAGTGCTTCAACACTATTCATCTCACGACTCACCATTTGTAAAACTATCATACCTATATGCATCAAGGTAGAGATTTTTGATTGTATGTTGTGAACATGAATAATGAGATCACAACTCGTTGCAAATCATCTCTCATGGAAAAAAAATTTATTTACATATTTGATCCTTTGTCTCTGATGAATTTTTTTTTTATCTTAACTTTCACTAAACCTCAAACTTGTATTCGCACTACCTTGAAAAAAAATGTATGAGAGAGCATGACAAACACTGGGAAATATACTAAGAATTGGAATTAAGCCTATTGCCAAAATAGTACACTTGCAAATGCAAAAAGAAAAAAAATTGATTTCTTTTGTTTATTTATATGGCTTAATGGAACCTTGTTCTAAGCCCATGGCTAGAGCACCCAAAGGCGGAAGGTGGGGAGAGTACCCATGAAGGTCACGTAAGGCTACGGTGTTTATCAATCCATGTATCGTTACATGAACTTTTCTGAAACTTTCCCATCTACCTTACATAGTGAATTAATAGACTAATCCCTATAGTCTTAATTGATCCACTTATAATCATGCTTAAAAATGATTTGTTAGTGCCGTACTAAATAGCTATGGACCAACCTATTTGCCACTCATAACAAACCTAAGGGAGATTTACATTTACCTACAGTAACGTAGAATAACTTATAGTAAATATTAATATGATAAAATTAATATTACAAACTCAAAGTGTAAACTTGAGTTGTTAATGTGCCTTGTTTAAAAGGCCAAGCAAAAACTTATGCAAAAGATACATCTAAAATCTAACTTAATAAGCTCAAGCACAAGCTCATACAATATCGTATAAATAGTAACCAAAATCCATACTCCCAAACTCTCAAGTGTTCAATTAGCAAATGAAGGAATTGAAGCACAGAAAGACTTTTAAGGGAACAAGAGTAGAAGCAATATAGGAACAATCCTATGACATTTAGCATCCTAATGCCAAGACTAATATACAAAATGGAGTTAAATGGAGTTTGCCACAATTTTAGCATATTAGTGGTATAAAATGAGGATACGGGCGCTTCACTAGCTAGCCTAGTATGGAGCTTGAACTAGACCTAAGTCAAACGCTTAACAAGAATAAACATATAAAAGGGAGTTAAATTGTACCTCATGTTGGTCAATTATGCCTAACCTACTCACTATCCCTATTATACATTTGAAATCCATTACACCCCCTACCCCTCCCCCTCTAGAGGAACTCATGCTTTGGGCTTTCACCCTAGCCCTAAGAGTTAATCTTTAGGACATCATGTCATCGTGTTTGGGACAATCTCTATTTCGTAAATATGCCTTAGTAACAAATCTAAATACTTTCCATAAATTGCTGATAAGACCAAATATCTATAATAATAAGGAATGATTGCCAAACTTTCTAGGCCGCCAGATCTAGCCAATGGCAGCCATCTGATAGGGGGTAATTGTACAACAATTATTTCTTTAACCACGTTTTTAGCAAATAATCATGTTGATGTTTGCCAATGGGGGGGGAACCAATTGCCTGCGGTGAGAGAAGAAGGCACTACAACACATGTCATATGCAAAATGTTGACTGGTATTGACACTCAACCTTTTATAATAAAGACCCTCTGAAATCGAGAGGGTAAGCTCTAAAGTTTAGTGGAGAGTGTCTACAATGACAACACGCATGACTATTGGTGCCTTTAAATTGTAATTCAAGTTTATAATTGAATCTCTTTCCTTCAATTTAGGGTTTTGTGAGCTATGGCATGTGCTCTTGCCAATCCCTGGCAATGGCACCTCACATTCATCCCAAATGTGCAAATTCCTATATAGTGCCCTTCTTTTCTTGTTGTGGCTGCTGGTCTATTGCCTGTTTTGAAAATTGAGATGAGCTGCAATGCAATTGGAGCCATTGTTGTAAGTGGATTTTCTTGTAGTGAGATTGCATTTTCTCAAACTTCTTATCAAGTCACTAGTGATGGAAAGATTTTGGGAGAATCACTGAGATCACAAGTACTTTTTTTTCTCTCTTCATTTTTATTTTGTTTTGTTTTATTTCTTTGGATTCAAGGCAAAGTTGCTTCAACAGTATGGTGGTGTGATACCCCTAATAGCATGTCTAAACCACAAGCAAGCAATTGACAAAGTAAGTTATTCTCCTTTCAATGGAAGTTTTGAGAGTTCTTTTATGTTCTTTAGGTGGTGGCACAAGCTCTAGAGAATGCAAAAGTGAAGGAGTTAGAACTTGCAGTAGTAGCTGTGACAATTGGTTTTGGCTTGAGTTTATGCTTGGATGATAATGTTCTTTATGATGGGCTTATTGTCGTGTTCAGTGCCAAGAGGATTATGTTGCGCATCACATTGAAGAATTGCTTACATGTAGTTTCTCAGCCACTAGCACAAGAGGAGGGCATTCACATTTCATATGCTTCTCATTATGGCAGATTTGCATAAGTTTTTTACTTTCTTTACCAAGCGATTTCATGGGTGTAAAGATTGGGACATTGGGTACTAATTGCTTGCTAGACTCTAATAGTAAGTTCTATCTCTTGCTAATTGTGCTGCCATGGTGATGGAAGTGTGGTATTAAAAGATTTTGGGTTATCTAAGTAGCAATACACAATGCTCTTGCTCATATAACCAATGACAAGGTGTACATGAGGTGATCTTTGGTGGCATCACCAGATCAAAATCCAAAACTGGTAGAGCTTTGAATTCTATTTAATAGGTTGCCCCAAGAGAATGAATATTCATTTTTTTGTGAATAACTTTATTTTTAATGCTTTATAAATAGAATAATCAACTTACCTAAACTTATTTTGTTTTATAAATTATGATAATCTTTGAATATTTTAGGTCAAAATAAATTTTATAATTTGATACAAAAATTAAAAAACTTTAATAATAAGAGTACATATTATATTTTTATATGTAGCCTTAGCTATTTATAATATAACTCATTATCAAAAAAACTAAGATAATGTATATAGTATTTGATATTTTAAAATCTTTTTCCTAACTGCAAATATAGTTTATTAGTAGATAATACTATGGAATATAAGATTTGAATTTACAGTTTCTAATAATATATATATTTTCAAATAATTATTTTCTTGACTGGATCTGGATAGTAATATATTAATGTTCCTAAAAACTTATTGTTTTATATTCTTAGTAAAATGCATAATTGAGTAATGTCTTGCAGTAGTTATTCTCTATTGTTTGATAAAATCTTAATATCAGTTTATCCCAAGTAAAATTATAATTACATATTACATATTATTAATAATAGAAATATCATTTTTACCTTTTCCTGGGTCAGGTAGTTTTCTAAATATATTCATATTTCCAAATAATAGTTTGTATCTAATATTTTATTATTGAGTATTTATTCTTACTTATATCTAGAAATATATTTTGTTCTAAATATTTATATTATCAAGTTTACAAGAATTGATTTTTGTGTTCATCTAGCATTTTCTGGGCATAATTCCCTCAATCCTTCTTTCAAAGTGGAATATAGTATTTGTTGCTTTGATACTATTCTAATTTAGATTTTAATATATTAAAAAACCAAAAGAGCATTTTGCTAACTGTGCAGCATATGCTAGCAATATCTAACATATATATATACATACATCATATCACCTTTGGATGGATCAGCCTCAAAATAAATCCTTTCTATTAAGAAGTGTCCACAAAATTCCATCATGTGTCATGGCTGTTCACCCTTGCTTGGCTTGCCACTGAAACAAAAGAGCTAAGCCCCATCTTTCTCTGTGAATCTCTCCTAGGATTGTGAATTTGCCAAACGTTTTACCTGATGAGGTTGAGGTGGGAATGGTGGAGCGCCTCATGAAGCGAATGGAGTTTTATCAATTGTGGTTTCAATATCTGGATGATCTGGATCTGGGAGCTTTGTTACTGCCTCTGCTCGATCGCCAGCAACTGAGGCTCACGAAGAGCTGCTCGTGGCCGAAAACTAGCTTTCTAAAGCAGACCAAAATTACAATTCGTCCATACATTTCAAAATTGGCTTACACAGAACTCAGAAGAAAATATATTTTCAAAGCTAAGTATCGACAAAAATTATCCCACCGAAGTTTTACTCTGGGCCTTCTAAAAGCTTTCTCATCTCCATTATCTTGTGGATTGCATGAAGCTGCTGAGATCTCACCATGATTCCCTCCACAACATCACGCTGTGCCCTCCACTCCTCTATGACCATCGTCAGCTTACTCAGGTACTCGTTTAGATTCGTCACATCCGAGCGCCCGAGCGTGCAACAGATGGCATGCAGAATGGATATCTCCTGTTCCAGGTTCCATTGCAGCAGCTCCCGCGAGCCACTGGAGACCCCTTGAGAGCTTTCCAGCATCTTGAGCACGTCCACTCGCTTGGAAGCCTTTTCAGAGTCGAGCTTGGAGCAATGCGCTGCGCTGCTTCGTTCTTCACACTCTGCCTCGGCCGCCGCCAGTAGCTGCTTCCGATTCTCGACGTTTCTTACGCTGCTCAGCCACTCCGAATACTCTGCCTCAGCTTTCTTCTGGAGATCCATAGCTCTCGCTTCTTCCTCGATGAGCGTCCCCGCTTTGGACCCTTCAGCCAGTAGCTCCATTAATACGCCTTGGTCTATCATCTTATCGTCATAATCTGGATGCAACGCACGACCAACCTGAGAAAAATCAGTTAAGCTATATGAGAGAAACTCACCATCTAAGCGCTGCCAATCGTTAAAAGAATCAACCACCTGTTCCAAAACTTTGTGAAAGTCGGGACATTCCTGGTGAGACGCGAGGTCCCTCACCAGCTCCTTCACCCTCAAGTGCGCGAGCTTGTACCAGCTCGAGCCCAGTTTCTCCATCACCTTCACTGCCGACGACAGTTGCAACTCCAACACCTTCCTGTCCGTCGTCGCCACCGCTTCTTTTATCATCGTCTTCCAGAATACCACCAGATCACTGTTCTTCAGGCAAGTGACGCACGAGGAGCGCCGATCAGACTCCTTGATGGCTTGCAGCGCACAGTCCAAGTGCGCGAGGTGGTGACAAGCGTCGCATCTCAAGTAGTTCCAACTCTTTCTCGCCTCGACTTCGCCGTAGCAGATGTTGCAAGTGCATCCCGGACAGAAGTCCCGACCCGAGCAGCAAGCCTCGATCTTACAGCTCCCACAGTCGAGCAGGACGATCTCGGCCGTCTTCTTGTCCATGGGAAAGCTCTCGAGCGTAACGTTGTCTTGTTCCTCGGCGATGCACTGGAGTACCAGCTTGTGAGCCGCTTCGAGAAAGCACGACGGACGCTGGCGTCTGCACGACCAGCTGCTACACATCTTGACGAGCTCGTTCACTCCAAAGCTTGATGGAGCCACTTCACCCCGCAGGACATGGAAAAACATGCGCAGCGCTTCCCTGGAATGCTTGCGAAACGTGTTCCCGTCACGGGCCTTTGCAGCGATGGCCTCCTGGAGTTGTTTGATCTCGTTGGCGCTCTTGTCATCCAAACGCGATTCTTCTTCCAGCAGCTTGCTCATCACGTAGGACTCTTGAACGAGGGCGTGACTCCTTGTGGAGGCCAGTATGGTTGCCAAGCTCACACTGTCCGGGATGATCATGTCGCTTACAAGCGGTGGAGATCTCAAGTTTTCTTCTTGAGTAGTCTCGTTGTCTGGAGGGGGAGTTTCATCTCGAGTTCCATCGCCAAAGGCCGAAGGCCCAGGTGTCTTGTTGTCTGGCGGGGGAGTTTTATCTCGAGTCCCATCGCCAAAGGCTCCAGGAGATACTTCGTCCTAGAGAGAGCAACGTGAAAGACAAGAAAAAGCGCAAACTTTCAAACCTCGTTGATAACCATCGTAGCTTCGTAGCCTTCGTCGAGTATCTAGATGAAGAACAGCACCGATAGAAAGAACAAAGAAGATCTCTTCCAGAGGCGAACCTTTTCAACGCTTATTAGCTCTTGTCTCTTCGGGACACTAGTCGGGGACTCCATTTCTAGGCCTCTGGACGATCGTGTTCGTTTTCTCGTCGATCGAGCATTGACCTTGTGCCGCTTACGCTGCGGAGTGGCGGTACTCGAAGTAGGAGTAGCTGCGATCTTATCCGGCGCGGGAGCTCCACCCGGCTCGCTCTGCAAACCTACAAGAGAGCTAGAGCAAACAAGAAAAGAAGAGAAAGAGAACATGCTACCGCTCCGTTCGAAATTCCAGCGGAACTGCGATGGCGATGGCGTGCCCGGCGTGGATTCCAGATATGCCCGGAGCTGGACCCGCGATCGAAAGCACTGGCCATCCGGAGAGTAGAAATAAGTGTCGGTCACGCGATTCCCCACTCGCCATCGCCATTCCGGCGGTGCGATCGGCGGCCCCGTCCCGCTCTTCCCAGCGAGCGGATGGCTGCGAGCTCGCCGGCCGGAGGAGCCTGCCATGGCGAACGAGGAACCCTAGCGGGAATTGCCACGTGGAGGGCACTTGGCTCGGTTTACTGCCAACTAGGCGCCACGTAGCGCGGAGAGGTTTGCAGTTTTTGGGCGCGGCCAGTAGGGAAAGAGAGCATCCATCGCGATGGGCTAGGCGCAGGGTGTAGCAGCGCGATGAATCCTTCCAATGCGGGGCGAGAGGAGGAGCGGGATCGCGAGCGCGGTGGCGGCGCCGATCGCCACCACAACAGCTTGGAGGTGACCATCATCTCGGCGCAGGGATTGCGCGACACTTGCATCTTCGGGCGGATGAGCCCCTACGCGCTGGCCTGGATCGATCCGGAGGTGAAGTACTGCACCCATGTCGCGCACAACGCCGGCTCCAATCCAGCTTGGGATCACAAGATGTACATCCCCCGCCCGGGCTCGCTGCGCGGGGTGGAGCTGTGTGTCCAGATCTTCAGCCGGGGCAGCGGCACCAACGATCCCATCGTGGGCAGCACCAAGATCCCGCTGGGCGACGTGATCGATGGCGGGCTCCAGTACATGGCGTGCCAGTTGCAGCGGCCGTCGGGGAGGATCCACGGCCTCCTCAACATCTCCGTCCAGACGTGCCACTCGGACCGCGAGGCGCTCGAGAGCTCCACGCTCAAGCGCAGCCTCGAGGTGTCCGGATCTTTCAAGGCGCCCAGGAGCTCCTCCTCGTCGGACGAGGATCGCGATCAGCTGGACACCACGCCTGAGGATCACCCCGAGGAGAGGGAGAGAGCCCAGCTCCACGATCATCTGGCGAGATTGCGGGTGGATCCGGGCACCACTGCGGTGGCAGCATCCACTTCGTCCTGCGCCCCGACTCCGGCGGCGCCCGCGCGGTCCCGGAGAGCGTCGGCGATCCTCACAGCACCCGACATTCTTGATCTGGGCGAGATCGAGGACCCCAGGGATCGGCCGTTGGGCGAGAGGGACCGAGAGCGCGAGCGGGAGCGCGAGCGCGAGAGAGACCGAGACCGCGAGCGGGAGAGAGAGCTGCGGGAGAGGGAGCGGGATCGAGACAGGGAGCGGGAGAGGGAGAGGGATCGCGAGCGCGAGCGCTTGAGATCCGGGCAGTATGGCGTCTTTGCCGGTGGCGGAGGCGATCAGCCCGGCGGGGGCGGCCACCAAGGCGGCGGTGGCAGCGGCGGCGGCGATGCCACTGGCGTGGATCTTGGGGGTGGCGGTGTAGAAGGCGGCACCATTGGAACGTACTATCTAGGATCTCAAGCGACCTCGGCTATGGATCATCTGGCTGGCCACTAAGTGGGTTGACGAACTACTATTCTTCCCAAGATCTTGGAGGATCTGACGCATTCTTCCTTGTGTGCCAGGTCCTTGCGAGAGATATTTGTAACGTCGCCATCGCGTGCTTGCTCGCTTTTATCTTCAAAGGAGAAGCGAGAAGAGTAACACCGCCCCATAGAGAAATTATTTCATTCATCAATCTTCACGGGTTTCGAGCAAAATATTGTTTTACCTAGGGTCCGCTCGATCGATGGCGGTGCGTCGCCGGCGCTAGGCGCGAGGCGCGCGGGGGGCGGGGCGGCGGCGCGGTAAGAAAGATTGCGTGACGGCTTTGGATTAGAATTCTCATCTGGGAAAGAAGACAGAAATTCTCCGATTTCTTCCTCCGCCCCGGTTCCTCGATTTCCTGCTGTTCTTGATCGATCCGGAGCGCCAATGAAGCAGCTCGTAGATCTCCTCCACCGGCGCAAGAAGGCTTTCTTGATCGCCGCGGCGCTGGCTGCCGGGGGCTACGCGTCCTACTCGTATTACCGCTCGGAGTCGTTTCAGAGAAGGAAGAGGCAAGTAATTCTCATCTTGGATGGATTGGGGAAGCTGCTCCAGGCGGCGGCCAGCGCTGCCGACTCGGCGTCTCTCATCTCCGGTGATCTCAAGGATTTTCTGGAATCGAGCAACGAAGAAGGCGAGGTTCCTCGCAGCATCCGGCAGCTCCTCAAGATCTTGCGCTGTCCGGAACTCCAGGATCTTGTCGCGGTCACCACTTCTAGCGTCTGCAAGGTGATTATGGCCGGTACTTCTCCTGAGGATACTTCTCCTTCCAGGGCTCATCATGAGAAATCGCTAGACAGGAACAATCTGGTCATGTATAGGGACAGGCTCCAATTCAGGGCAGAGAGCAGTGACGGATGGAGGCGTGAGAGATATGAGAACTTCGAGGTGAAACGAACAGTTCCAGGGAGCTCTAGCAAGCCTAGCAGAACAATGAGGCACGAAGGACTTTCAGAGAAGTTGCTAAACAAGCTTTTCAGTGACCCCGGGAAAGGTTTTGCGTCAGCCATTGTTGGAAGTGCGGTGAGAAACTTGGTGGTGTGTTACTTCGAAGAGATGGAGCGCAAGGCGGAGCTAGAGAACGAGTCGGCTCCAGAGATTTTCGAGCTGGGAGCCAACGGGATCGTGCGAACTCATGGAAGATTGAGTGAAGATCCAGGGGAATGGAAGCCCGCCAAGCTCTTGGATCTGGCATGCAGCACCAAAGGAAAAGCTCTTCTCGCGGAGTGCATACAGATCGTTGTGGAGGCCACGGTGTCGACGTACTTGGACAAAACACAGGAGGTGAATATGTTTGAGGAGATGGTGGAAGCGGTGACAAAACCCGTCCACCGAGTTCCGGCCCAAGAAATGATCGTGAGTGTTTGCAACGGGGCCGTGGATACGTTCGTACGAACTTCGTACGAGGTTCTGTCCGAGAGCTCGAAACAGACGACGCGCCTGGACATGACACCGGTGAGTTTCAATAGCAGCGAAGCGGTTTCGGCCTTGCAACAGGGTCCTGGGAATTATCTCGAGAAGATATTCGGCGCCTTGACGATTCCAAGCAATCGCATGCTCGTCATGGATTTAGCTGGAAAAGTGACAGCCGAAGCAGTGAGATCCTTCTTCGGCCTCGTCATAGCCGTCTCCGCTCCATATGTGAGAAGTTCCAGGGACGTGGTTCATTCCAAGGCGGCCGTGGTCAGGACTCGTTTCTCTCAAGACGCTGCTACCAAAGTTCTGGTGTTGGTCACAGTGTGCCTGGCCGTGTTCTTACACATATTTGTCAACACCAGCATCTCACTGAAATGAGAAATAATCCAGGTACGTGTGTTTTTGTTTGTCAAGCTCGTGCTTTCTTGGTTCTCATCTCCTTCATGCAGGCCCGGCATAGATCCAGCCCAAGCACGATGTTTAGAACGTTGAGGCCGAGCATTCCTGAGCTAGCTAGTAGCAACTCAAGCTTACTGGGGAACTTGGTGGCATCCATGTAGAGCTTCACGGATATGACTCCATGCACTAGTAATCTGGAAGTGAAGTAAGTGATCCAGTTGAGAATCCATTCCGCGATCACGGCGACGCTACCGAGCTTTCGTATGCCCGTCATCCGGCTTATGCGTCTCCAGTGCAGGAACACCGAGTGCATCTGTTAGAAGCTAATGAAGTTGGTCCAGGTGACAGGAGCAATGCAAGGGAAGTTTTAGTCACCTCGCAGAGTAGCGTGAGAACTAGATAGTTTATAGAAACGTTCCGGAGGAGTGCCAAGGTGAAGCAGTTTAGCAGCAGCCAGTGATGGACGAGAAGCGGAGGAAACCATCCTTGATAGAGGTGCCTGCGAATCATGTCGACTTGGTCATAGGCGAAGTAGCCACAGGAGAAGGCTAGCACCGAGTACGCTCCAGGCCAAGAGCGAGAGTACAAGCTTTCAAACTCCAGCATTTTTGCGACGGATCCAGTGCGGTAGAGCTCGACGAGCACGCAAGCTCCAACTGGAGGAAAGCCAAGTTTCTAGCGCAATGAAGAAAGAGATGTGGGAAGGAATTCTTCGCGTACCAGAGAGAGACACGAGCAACGAGTGCAGCAACGAGACACCAATGTTCGTGAAGTCGTGGGGTGAAGAAGCTGGTGTGAGACGAATTTTGTGCCTGGAGAGGGAGGAGCCGAGAGCTCCATTGAAAGACTGGAAGAACACGAAACCGGCGATGATGGGCAGTAGCCGCGATCGACCATTGAGCAATTCGCTAGCTACGACCAGCAGCCACACAAGCATCATACTTCCAAACAGCCAGGCGGCGAAGTCGGGGACCTTGTTCTCGCGCTCGGCCATGGCTGGGACTGTGATTTAGCTTGCGAGCTCGCCCTAAAGCCAAGAAGTCAGGCTCATGGGAAAGACGAAGGTGTATGCCGTTCGCAAGGGGAGGCAGCCAGGTATCTACGAGAGCTGGGATCAATGCAAACGCCAGGTACTCGATCGAGCTCTTCTCTTTCTCTTCTTTTCTAAAATCTTTCGTTTTGTTCTTCCTTTTTGGAGACTGATGGATTCAAAGGCTGTGAGTACAAGAGCTTCAGCTCCTTCAGTGACGCGGAGAGCTACATGAACGGGATCAGCCCAACCAAGACCGAGGCCGTACTTCGTTCGGTGACGGGCGATGCAGCAGTCGCCAAGCCAAGACCGAAAATCGCTTGCATCTCCGCTGATGCCGTCTCTGCCGAGGTAGCTCAACGTCTTTCTTTTGAAACAAAGTTGGAACTGTCTTTTGCTCCAGGAACTCATCCATGTTTCCTCGTCCAGCTGCTCCAAGATCAAGCAAGGAGCTGTACCGATTCAAGCCGGACGAGTGTACCAGGTAGAGTTTGATGGTGCATCGAAAGGGAACCCGGGAAGAGCTGGAGCTGGAGCTCTTCTCAAAGACCCAGATGGCAATGTGGTAAGATTTTCGTGTTAAAAAATTGTGTTTTCTTGGGTACTCACTCGTAGCTTATTATGATCCAGGAATGTGAGATGAGCGAAGGTGTGGGTCACGCAACCAACAACGTTGCCGAGTACCGTGGCTTGATCCTGGGCTTGAAAACAGCACTAGACAAGGGGATTAAAAAGATCATTGTGAAAGGAGATTCCAAGCTAGTCTGTGAACAGGTAAAAGCTTTTCTTACAGTTCTTTCATTCTACGAACGAGTTTCATCAGATAATGGAGCGCTGGAAAGTTCGGAATGAAGGGCTCAAAGATCTCTGGCAGGAAGCAATGTACCTCAAATCGCAGTTCTTGGAGTTTAAAATCCAACACGTCGATAGAGTAAGCGAAAGCCCAGTGTTTTCTTGTTTGATCGAAAGTTTCTCCTGGCTGGTATCAGGAATTCAATCCTCTAGCCGATCAGCTGGCCAACATTGGAGTCACACTGCCAGGTAATGAAGCTCGAGTGTATTGAAAATGGAAGCCTACTTACATTTCTTTCATCTCGTGATTCTAGAGACCAAGTTCGTGAGCTCTTCAAGGAGTTGAGACGCTGTTATTTTGCTGGAGCGCGATCATCCTTGCTGGGGCTGTTGCGGGACTTGGATTTCCTCCTTTGGATCGTTCTGGTAGAAGAAAGAAGAAGAAAAAAATGCTGCATTATAAGGGCAAAAAGAAAGAGCGCCTTACTCTGTGCTCGATGTGCCACTGGATCGCGGAATACAAATTCATGGAGAAATTAATCCCGAGGTAGATGGTCGCGACGCCCAGCAGCGATGTCACCGTCTTGTACCCGATGTCTGCGATCTTCCTCATGATGCCGCGCCTTCGCTCTTCGCAAGAACCCTAAAGTATGAAATAGGGTTTATGGGAGCTTCTCTATTCGGGTTTTAGGAGCAGCAATCCACGACGATGGCGGCTGCGGAGGAGGCGCCTGCGCCAGTCGATCGCTTCGATCTCAATGTAGGTTCTCGATTCTCCTGGAGTAGAGCGGATAGAGAAATTTGCAGAAATTTTGCAGTCCAAGAGGGTCCAGGATGCGTTTGAGGACTGGGGATCCAAGACGACGATCGGTATCGTGGCGGGCATGATCTTTGGAGGGCTAAAGGAGGGTCGAGCATCCGCTGTGAGATTTCACTTCATTTGCTCCCTTTGGATTTTCATTCGTTTGGTGTGTTGTTGTAGCACTGGCAACCTTTTCTTCCATCCCAGGCCGGAAGTAGCACTTGGAACGAGCGGCAAAGAGTTTGGAGGAACGTTTGGGAGCAAAGATTCGTGAGAGTCGCGGGAGGAACGGTGTCGGGAGGCGCCAAGCTTGGATTCTTCACGTCCATGTACTGTGGCCTCCAGCACGCTCTTGCGATCTACAGAGACGTGGATGATGCTTTCAACACCGCCATCGCTGCGAGCGCCACCGCTGCAACCCTGGGACTTGTTTGTAAGTTTCGCTCTTTCGCAGGCATTCGTTTTACTTCGCATTTCCTCTCTAGAGCCTCCGCATTTCTCGTTCTCGCTCGATCTTTCTAACGATTTGATCAAACAGTGCCAGGATCGTTGAGATGGCGATTGAGGACATCATCTCTGGGGATTGTTCTTGGAGCAGTAGCCGGGCTTCCCATCGGTGAGCAAAAAAGAAATCCAAGCTTTCGATCGCTCTTCATAGCTGACTTTGAGCATGGTTCCACAGGCTACATCCAGACCTCGCTCAACAAGAAAGCAGAAGAACTCATGAAAAACGCTCCAAGCCCAAGCTCGTAAAAAAGCTGCCGTATGTAGCGTGCTAGAAATACGATGCACCGTATGATTTTCGTACTGCTTGGACACGTGTTGGCACCCAACGCGGTGCACGGGGGCCTGGCCGCGCAAGAAGCTCTAGGGCGTGACACCTGCCCCTATTTCCGTACGACTCGATTCTTATGGTTTACCTAGGGTTTGTGCTCTTGCGTGAACCTTCTAGAATGTGGGCTATGGCGAGCGTGAGCGACATGGATCGTGGAATCTAGCTGCTTCGGATGCCAGATTGAGGTGTGTATCCAGCGCGCGGATTTGCGATGGCGGCGGCAGCGGCGGGCGAGGATGGGGCGAAGCATGGGGCGGGATCTATCGCTCGGCAGACCTCCATTTACTCGCTCACGCTGGACGAGCTCCAGACGACGCTCGGCGAGCCGGGGAAGAATTTCGGATCCATGAACATGGACGAGTTCCTCAAGAACATCTGGACCGCGGAGGAGAGCCAGGCAATGGCGGCGGCCATGGCGCCGGACAACAGCGCGCTGTGCCGGCAGCCCAGCCTCCGGGCGCCGCTGCCAAGGACTCTGAGCAGGAAGACGGTGGACGAGGTGTGGAAGGGCATCCATCGGCCGGGCGAGGAGGATCAATCGCAAGGCGAGAATGGGCGAGAGGCGGCGCATGCAACGCAAGCCACTCTTGGAGAGATGACTTTGGAGGATTTTCTCATCAAGGCCGGGGTGATGAACGATGAAGCTGGCGCTGCTCAGGACCCAAAGCCTGTCGTGGCTACTGCGAATGGAGGCGGAGTTCCTCACGCTGCTGCGCTGGGTATGGAGTCCAACCAGCAGGGAGATTGGCTGGCGGCGAACCAGTATGGGAATACTGCGACGATGGCTGCCGCGATCTCTCAGCAGCAGCAGCAACACCAGCAGCAGCAGCAGCAGCAGCAGCAACGCCAGCAGCAGCAGTTCCTCCAGCAGCAAGTGGAGGTGGCGGCTTACATGAACGCTTCAAAGATGGGAAACGGAGGAGCTATGACTGCGCTTGGACAAGCTGGGATGTTTGGAGCGAGTTCTCCACCGAGCCCCGGATCGGACAGCCAAGGGAATGGTTTTGGGCTTCCTTCGATGGGATTCGGGATGGAAGGAAGGGGTCGGAAGAGGGGACTGGACGGACCGGTTGAGGTGGTTTTGGAGCGGAGGCAGCGACGGATGATCAAGAATCGCGAGTCGGCTGCGAGGTCTCGAGCTCGCAAACAGGTTGGTTCTCTTTCTTCCTGTCTGCTTTTGATATTTAGCATTGATGATGTCAAAGCTGAGACAAAGATTTGTTTTATGTTTTTCCAAGGCTTACACAGTGGAGCTGGAAGCCGAAGTGAGCCACCTCAAGGAAGAGAATACGAGGCTCAAGAAGCAACAGGTCAGATCCTTGGACTTTTTCTCTCCTTGGTTTCTAAAACAACGAGGAAACTTGCAGGAAGAATGCGAAGTGAGAGATAGAAAGCAAGCAAAGGTACTGGAAAAGAAATCAATCTTGCTGAGATTTATTTTCCTTTCTTCGCAGATATTGGAAGCAATTGTATCCAAAAGCGAGCCTATGTGTTTACCAAAGCCAAAGCCATTGAAGAGAACGCTAACTGGGCCCTGGTAGATGTTAAGTCACTGCTCCTCTTAGCTATTAATGTGTACATTAACATTACATTAAGTTAACTGGAGTCAATCTCATCCAACGGCGTGGATGTGCCAGTAAACCATAGCCACAAGCTTCCACGAGCGTTTAAAGGCCGTTTGATCCAGTACGTGGACGGTCCAGATGGTGGCGTCCATCCAAAATCCTCTATCCCAGACCTAGGTCTTTGGAGTGGAGGAAGAATGGCGATTGCTGTGGTGGACGCGTCAGGTACGTGCACGTCTTCTATGTTTTGCCCCGCGGCAGCTGCGTCGTCCTCGAGCGTCGCATTCGCAGCGTTGCCTTCTCCATCCTCGTCGTCGACACGAATCAGCGCGTCGTGGAGGAAATCCGCGAGCTTGAAATCGCAGCGGAGAGGCGGCACAGGCACGGGAGCTCTCAGGCGCCGATTCTCGGCCGCTTGCATCGTTTCCGAGACCAAGGAAGCCTCTCCAGGTGGATTTCTCTAGATTCAATTGGATTCCAATGCCTGATCTGTAGCACTTTCATTTTGAGAACTTTTAGTTTGTCTTTTCTATGATGTTTCCCAATGCTGATCTTCGATTTTGTGATCTCCAGCCGGAGCTGTGGATGACACGACCTTTAAATCTCTAGTGCTCGAGTCTGAGATTCCCGTTTTGGTGGACTTCTGGGCTCCCTGGTGCGGGCCGTGCCGGATGCTGGACCCGGTGATCGACAGCATTGCCGAGAAATACAAGGGCAGGATCAAGTGTTACAAAGTTAACACCGATGACAGCTCCAAGACCGCAACGGAGCTGGGAATTCGCAGCATCCCGACGTGCATGATCTTCAAGCAAGGCGAGAGATTGGACACCGTCATAGGCTGCGTTCCAGAGACCACTTTGATTACCACCATCGAGAAGTACATATGAAGCAAACAGGGGGGTATAGCCTTTGACGTTTGCAGCTTGTTGCTCATCCGACCAGCCAAGAAGCCGAGAGAAAATAATTACTTTGGTTAATTGAGCATCTTCTGTATTATACTTTGTCTACCTTCATTGCCAAGACAAATTTTATATTTAATCTTGTTGATATACTTAAGGGTTATATAAAAGGTTCAATGATGCTGTAGCTCTTTCAAACACTGTCATGGAATATAAAAATGGAATAGAAAAATGTACATCCCAATTAACCCAAAAACCTTTATTTATATATAAAAACTAGAGGTTTGGATTAAAACCAATCTGATATCTATTAAAATTCCATTATGTTAATTTTAGTATACGGGCAATATATGAAAAGAAAGTGTACTTTACTATCTTAAAAGAAAGTGTACTTTCTTTTCCTTTACAAACAGCTTTGATCCAATTGTTAGGTTTTTTTTGCTTCTCAAAAAATAGTGGTAACCATATTTTCAGCCTATTATAAATTATAAAATTAATAATAAAAATAATATATTTGTACCTTCCATTCTTCACAATGAGCTCTTCTTTTTATAGATTTTTCTTTTTGCAGATTATTTGAGTTAAGTGGAAGACAAAGAATGCCATATTTGGTTGTAACATTGCCACTTATCAATCATTCTACATTTACACCAGCAAAGCATGAAGTCCAATTCAAAATCTTCTTTAGGGAGTGTGAACAACTTGATGGTTTTTTAGCAACTATGTTTGCATATATTTCAAAAATATTTATTATTTACTCTTCTTTTACATTGACTAATTAACAAAGAGGAAATACCTAAGAAAAACTTCATATTAATTCTTCAAAACCTTTCTCTTCCCATTTAAATTGTTTATTAATAAATTTATCAAATTTACTAATAAATCTATTTTTTTAAAATAGGGTTGTAGGATGATATCCCTATGGAAATGAGCCTCATGCTTTTCATTCAGAAAAATTGTTTGTAAATAAAACTTTATACACCTTATGTTATTACATTATCCCCTGATTCATAATTTACTATCATATGTTTAAAAATAATTAAATATGGAATTAATGTATTTCTAAAATAAAAAATCCTAATTTTTAATTATGTGTTACAATTGATTGAACTTACAAAAGAAAACTTTAAAGTGATTTATTTAAATAAACTATTATTATATTACTTTAAAATGCATTTATATAAATTTTACTATCTTAATTAAAAGTAAGTATTTTACAATAATATTTAAATTGTCATATAATTTTACTTATTTTTATTTACTAATTAGATTTTGTGATTGGCTATTCCACTCTAAAGCATTTTTGGAAGGTTGTTAAATGGATGACAAACCAAAAATGACAGTGTATATTGAAATTTTTAATGTTTATTGCAATTTGGAAAAATTGAGGTAGAGGTTTAGTTAAAAAGCTTAATATACTAAACATTAGAAATCTTCTAAGTATATTCTATTTCAAAAAATATATTGATAACTAATAATCTATATCAGCAATTTAATTTTGTAAGTGTAATATTTCCTAAAATATTTAAAGACAGATCAATTCTTACTTGCCAAATTCTTAAATTAAGTGACCAATTCTTCATATATACACTTCCATCTCTATGAAATAGTATTATACATTTATACCATATTATGTTTAATTGATCTTCATTTAAATCACTTGATGTTACACTAGTATGTTGCCCAATATATGCAATTACTTCTACATTACCACGAATAGAAATTATTTTTCCAGTTCGATTATGATTAAGAGTGTAATAAATTACAATTACAAATATCTATATCAGAAACTCTAGAAAAATAATAAGGCAAACATTTCCATAAATATCCGTCACTCATTGAGTATGTTTTGTTTAAAAGATAAGATAAATAGAAAACCAGTTAAAAATATTTCTTCATTTCTTCAATGTCTAAGTAAATATGTAACCAACAAAACCACATGTTTATAAAGCATTTTTTTATGTATTTGTAAAAATAAGACAAGAAAATATAAGTGTTGTCCAAACAAGAAGGTATCTTGGATCTTAGTGGAAGAGTTATAACAGTAACTGATATCTATTCTCTTAGGTAATGATACTTAAGGAGGTTGAGATTTGGGAATCTCCAATTGCATTGTATAGATCATAGGAAATAATATAAACACCTTATCATAGCACATAGAGCTTTATAGATGCTATGAGGTAGCCAACTAGCTATGATGCCCAAGAGTATTTAGGGAAATAGAAATCTAAGAGTCATTATTTGGGTAAGATTATCGATGCAAAGTGTTTGAAGTGTTTAATAGTGATCATTTAGAAAATTAAGAGCTACTTGTGTGTCTTAAGTTGGATCTTTAAGTGGAATGGAGTAATGGTTGTAATCAATTTGTGCAAGTAGAATATTGCTGTTGAGAAATATCCCATTTGTGGCATTTAGCACCTTAATGCCATTGTAAGTTGGGTATCAATTAGCAAATGATATAGTTATTAATTTAGATAGATCCAAATGAAGGAGATATTATTTATCCAAATTCA